TGAAGGTCGCAAGATTATTCAGACCTAAAGCTAATTAAAGAATATAGTTTGTGTCTAATTAGACGAACTAATAAAAAATTATAAGCTACTGATAAAAATGGCGAATATTCAGTTACCGTGATGAAACGGGTCATTTGACTGAAGACAAAAACTGATAATGATCGCCGTCGGAACGTTTTGACCACTGTCAGAGTTGATATTAGGCACGAATTTGGCAATGGCAATATTTTTACCGCGAAACGAATTCCTTACCCTTGAATATTAATTATAATCTTCTTATAACATACGACAATAATATAGATGAAACCGGACAGCGACGGTGATGTCCAATAGTGCCAGTATCCGTCAAATAAAAACAACGCCATGAGCTCGTCAATATTAGCCAATAGAAACCATCGAATAAACCATAAATCAGAATTCAGATCTGAACTGATACCGGGTATTGCATACCGGAAACCAAAATAAAGTTAATTTTTAATCAGGCTCACGATATCCTTACCCAGTAGCTACATATGCTAATATAAAAAGTCTGGTATTCATAGCACTACAAAAGCCCACAGAGTTTCGCGCCGGAACTTCTCAGCGAGTCACGATTCTGGTTCGGTGGTATATTCAACGAAGAACTGCTCTTGCTAGGGCCAATGCGAGTAAAATCCCCCAGGTTTTTTTTAATTCTATTATTTCCCCACCAATTCGCTGGTTAGCCTAAAAGGCTATTTCAGCTACGCCCGAACGGATAGGTGAGCTCACAGGCTCAACCTGAATTTGCTGACACTAGCCCTAGTAAGAGCAGTGCTTCGCAGAATCTACCACCAGATCAGAATCGCGACCCACTGAGAAAATCCGGCAATAAACTCAGTTGGCTATGTTTATAGTTCTCCTAGGCCGAGCCCATAAACCCCATACACGGTCGGTCTAGCTAGTATGACTCCTTGAGGTTACTAGCAGAAGGTAGGGAGATAAAAGCGCTACATTAATCCTTTTAATAGATCCACCGTTTTCTGAAAGCTAAAGACGCCAGCCCGATTCACGAAAAGGCCACGACTGAGATGCTTAATCGTACAGTCAAATGGTCGTGACCATTCGTAAATGCTTTTAACACAAGCGCCATTACAATCAGGAAGGCGCAAATGACAAAATTTATAAGGTCAAATACAAGTGATGCTGTTAAGAGATATTGCTATGAGAATTATAATATGGTTGAGTGGATGTATTTTTGGTTGGCAGAATTTTTATCTATGCCGTAATTTCAATATAATCGTGCCTTCTCTTGCGATGACTGATTTTAGCGTTTGTTTTTGTGCTGGTCTCCGCGCACAGAATAAAATTGTGTCCGTGCGTGTTATTTACATAATCGTGCCTAGCGTGACTTATTAAAAATATTTTCCGATGATATAACAACGTCCAATTATAATTATTCTTGGCTTTTGACATTCAAGCTTCGTAAATACGTTAATAACAGTGCCAATCATAGTATCTGTTTTAATAAGCGTGCAAAGCTGAAGAGTATATTGGTTGTAGATGCATAATTATAAACCAAATTGATTGGGTTGTACCGCAAACAAGCCGATAATTGGGAAAACATCTTAGGTGAAAACTAAATTCGCGCGCTATGCATGTCAAACTAATTAGGGTTTATTAGTTCGGGAGTTAATGGAACACAAACATAATTAGTGTTATTATTAAAAACCTTCTATTAGCTCAATTTCTATTGGTCATGGACGTCAGCAATAACAGGGACATAGTCAAGCCCTTGTCAACTGCTGTGGGCTCCTCTTGAACTTCAATAGAATATAGTAGTACGTAGTAGTAATAGTAATTTTATTACTGGTGGTAGGATCTCTTGTGAGTCCGCACGGGTAGGTACCATCACCCTGTCTATTTCTGCCGTGAAGCAGTAATGCGTTTGGTTTTAAGGGTGGGGCAGCCGTTGTAACTATACTTGAGACCTTAGAACTTATATCTCAAGGTAGGTGGCGCATTTACATTGTAGATGTCTGTGGACTCTAGTAACTTAACACAGGGTGGGCTACGAGCTTGTCCACCCATGTAAGCAATAAAAAAAAGTAATGAACGGGAAATTCTATATTACTCTATTCAACACATTAATAGTAATCCCTTATAGGTACATATTCTAGTTTCTACTTACAAAGATCATTTGATAATTCAAAACTCCATACCGAAATGAACTTTAATTAAAACCTATTAAAGTCGTTTTTGGTCTATCAATAAAACGCACATGATACTAAACGTATTCGTTTTAACAGAACTCTGTTATTAGCTGTCAATAAATCAACAAGGTTAACACAATTAAAATTGTCAATAGGAATTGAAAACTCAAGTACGACTCAAACGCTCGGACACAGTTGAGTAACAAAGCAGTCAGGATATTAAAAACATGTCTTTTTTGTAGTGATAACTTCTTATGCGAGGGTAAACCGCTTCGTTACGTAATACGTTACGGCGCCAGTACGTCTGGCGTCCCTTTCTCTCTCGCACACGGCAGCGGTACTAGTATGTAACTCGTAACTATTTATATATCTTTTTTTATGTAAATATATGTATTTTTTATTGCTAAGATGGGTGGATGAGCTCACAGCCCAGCTGGTGTTAAGTGATTACTGGAGCCTTTACAGATCTACAACGTAAATGCGCCATCCACCTTGAGATATACGTTCTAAGGTCTCAGTATAGTTACAACGGCTGCTCCACCCTTCAAACCGAAACACATTACTGATTCACGGCAGAAATAGGCAGGGCAGTGGTATCTACCCGTGTGGACTTACAAGAGGTCCTACTACCAGTAAAGTATTAAATTTTTGAAGTGAAACTTCTTTAGAATCGTTGGGAGTGATTTCAAACTCGATAAAACGAAAAAATGAAACCTGATATTAAAATATAAATTCTCAGAGGGCGGTACCTCATACTATAAAAGATGATTTACAATTATTTCTATTTAGTTTGTTATCAACAGATGTCGCAGCACGTAAATTCAACAATTCCTGAATCGCGATGACGCGATGTTAAACAGTTAATAGACGTTCTCGTATTTCTCTTGCTAAATCATACCTGATGTAGAGATACGTGATCATGCAGGTGGTTCCCCCAAGGTGAGGCTGCTCCATTGCACTGCGGAGTGGTTGGTGGTTGACCCTTGCGATGATTCTTATTTTTTATAAGTTTCACTTCTACCGTGTGTGACTTGCACACACACAATTTTTTTTTTATATTCGTCATTCCAATACTGAAGTGCTTGCTCGCTCACTCAGTATTGTTGGCAGCTGCTGGTGGCAGCAACCAGAGCACAGTCGCTGACTCATCGGATCTTCTTAGCGGGCCTCGATTCTGGTGGTTGAAAGACTGATAGTGGGCGAAGGAGCCGCTATTGGGCTGTTAATCCTAATCTAGAGGCACGGTCAATTCTTAACGAACCTTCCTCCTTCGTTCCTGCTCTCCTGGATGAGCTTATGAGTTCTCCCACTCAGCCCAACTAAGCCCCAAGATTTCGGTGACATTACTAAAGCCAATGGTCGACGATAACCACTCACCATCAGATGGGCCGTACGCTCGTCTGCCTATAATGGCAATAAGAAACACCAGAGCCTCCGTTTGAAGCCCGTTTTCTCACTGCCTATCTGTTCCAATAGCTGTATTTAAAGTACTAGATTCGAAAACTACTTTACAGTAGATGGATTGCAAACTAGTCCATGAAACTAAGCGAACAAAAATAAATTCTAATAATTGTTACCTGAAAGTATTCACCCAGTATCACAGCGAGAAGGGAATGTAGATACTTAATTCTATTTACACTGTGGCGCTATCCACAGACCGAAAATATAATAAGTCGACTTAATTAAAGGTAGGTCAGTTACATTTTTTATTAGTTTGACCTAGATTTACCATTAATTACAAATTAAGACGAAAATATTATCCGAACTGCGTCTAAATGTATATTAGACTTCAATCAATGCTTCAACCAAAGCGTCTTCTCAACTAGAGACCAGACTATTACATATTTATGATTTGGTGAAAAAATGTTCACGGCACTAACACTATATGCCGCCCGAGACCAAGACAATGCTTGTTCAAACTTTGGTCTTCCCCATTATCGACTATGGTGATGTGTGCTACTTTGACTTGAATGCAGATCTACTCAATAAACTTAACCGGCTTCTCAATAACTGCATTCGATTTATTTATAATCTTCGGAAATACGATCACGTATCTTCTTATCGCTCCCAACTCAAATGGCTTCCCATTCGTCAACGCCGTAGCTTGCGTGCTCTCAGTACTCTTTACTCTTTGTTGCACTCCCCAAATCCACCTGCTTATTTAACTAATTCCTTTCAATACTTAGGGTCTGACCACAGCCGAAATCTTCGTTCATCTCACAATCTTCTTCTTCGCTGTCCTCCACATAGTTCTGACTTTTTACATCTTCATTCACAATTCAGTCTATTCTTCTATGGAATGCGCTCCCACTCAAAATAAGGTCGGCCACTACACGTGAAGCGTTTAAGACGAAGGTTCGAGAACTGTTTCTCAGAGAGTTAGCAGAGTCATCTAATTGATAATATTTGTTTATATATGTTTTTATATGTATATATTTATGTATATCTATATATTTATGTATATGTATTTATTTATGTACTATGTATTATGTATGTTATATATACACATAATATATGTTTAAGTAATATCACCTTCACACTACACCTACCAAGCTTCATCTCTGCACTCCCCTAAGGTAGACTTTTAGAGAATGCCTATGGCATTAAGTCCGCCTTTATACTTTCTAGTACCTATAAGAAGTTATAAATAAAAAAATAAAAAATAAAAATATATGCCCATGCTTCATGATGATGATGACGATAATGATGTCGATGGTGACGATGATGACGACAATGACGATGATGACGATGATGTCGCCAATGATGACGATGATGACGACGATGATGATGATGATGATGACGATGATGATAACGATGATGACGATGACGATGACAATTATGATGATCATGATCATGATGCCGACGATGGTGATGATGATGATCATGATGCCGACGATGGTGATGATGATGATGATGGTGGAACAGTACGCCTTAAACCGACAGAGCATGACGAGAATTTTAAACATTTATCATCTGTGCATTTTTTGTATACCGACGTGAGAACTTCCTCATCTTCTGGTCCTTAGTCCACATTATGGAGTTCGATAGACCATATCCCTCCTCTTATCATGCTGCATAGGAATTTGGAAGGATCGTACGACGGGCCGTTTGTTTGACTTCACTCACCTCAGGTTTCTCCAGTAGTAAACCGTCTTAAGAAGGAAGCTAAAAAGTCGTCGTGGCCTAAAGGATAAGACGTCCGGTGCATTCGTATCTAGCGATGCATCGGTGTTCGAATCGAAATCGAAATGAAATACGTACATAACAAATGCTCACGATTGACTTCCACAGTGAAGGAATAAGATCGTATAATAAAAATCAAACCCGCAAAATTATAATTTGCGTAATGGATGTGTTGTGAGTCCCACGGGTAGGTACCACCACCCCGCCTATTTCTGCCGTGAAGCAATAATGCGTTTCGGTTTGAAGGGTAGAGCAGCTGTTGTAACTATACTAAGATGTAGATGTCTATGGGCTCCGGTAACCACCGAACACCAGGTAAAATAAAATAAAACTTTGGTAAAAGGGATTTTATGTTCGACTTGCAAAAGTCTTTGGTTCACGTTAACAACATTGTTTGGGTTAATGGAGCAGTTCTTGTAGGATCAGTATCTTTGACTTAGTGGCTTGAGGTCGATGACTCAATCGTCTAGTGTAGCGGCCAGCCTTCGAATTGGAACGCACGACTGATTTCCGGTAGATAAATGACGCGACGCCACGGTTATTTTTTTTATAAACGTGGGTGAGACGTGTTGATTTCATTCTAGGCCACAACACAGCCAATCTATAATTGACAGTGGTAAAAAAAATAAGTGTTATTACAAGATTTCTTGCGTTCATCAGAAGAATACTTGACCAGAAGACCAATCGCGATTTTCTCCTGTATAATAAAAAATGCCCTACCATCAGTGATTACACAAATGCATTTTTTTACGGGTATGATTTTTATAAGACAATGCTATTACTTCATCGCTATATGATAAGCTCTGCTCCGGTGGCGGGAGACGTAATGATAAAAAGGAAAGTGGTCCTCTCGAACAATTCCTCAGAGCAATCGCCATGAAAAATGTGGTACAAAGGCAAAGAGACCGAAGTTCCTCCGTAGACCCAAACAAACCTCCTGTCTACTTCTGACTGAAGAATATTACAGCCAAGGTATGCCACAATTGATATTGAACTTCAAATATCAAAGTGACTTGGTAACCCGCACGCATACTTTTCTTCCCTATACACAGCTACAAAGAATACTTCAACTTTAGAGTTGAATTGTTTTGTGAAACCGAAGATGTTTTTAAGCCATCGCCTTTCTTGCGATCTAAAGAGTCATTCATATTGACGAAATTATATCACGATAATATTTTTTTTTATTGTGGGGCATCCGTTTTAACTGAGTATACAACTGAGATTTAGAACTCACGTCTAAAGATGAATTCGGGCGTTTATGCTGATAATGTCTATGGGCTCCAATAGCCACTTAACACCGGGCGGGCTGTGAACTCGTACGCCCGCTGAAAGCTAAACAAAAAGTTTAACGCCATAATTAGTCTAGGCATTAAAATGTCACAGCAAAGTGTGCACTCTAGCGTTTTTTTTATTGCTTAGATGGTTGGACAAGCCCACAGCCCACCTGATGTTAAGGGATTACTGGAGCCCATAGACATCTACAACGTAAATGCGCCACCCACCTTGAGATATAAGTTCTAAGGTCTCAGTATAGTTACAACGTCTACCCCACCCTCCAAACCGAAACGCATTATTGCTTCACGGCAGAAATAGGCGGGGTGGTGGTACCTAATCGTGCGGACTCACAAGAGGTCCTACCACCAGTAAAAATATTTATTTACCAGCGTTCAATAATATTACCAGCTGTGTGAATCCTGCCTTATATTAAACTTGTTCTACACGATTTCAGGAAATACACACAGTATTTAATCAGCCATTGATACCTTACTTAGTGTAACGGCGCTCCGAGATAGAATTCCTTGAGTAGGTAAAACGCTCCATTGCTTTCCGATCAGCCTTCTAGTTTTCCTAACCCTTATCCCACTAAGTGGGGCGAGCGCAACGTATCCTCTTTTCCAGAGAGTTCTATCATACGTCATCTCTGCACTAGCACCCTTCTTCCGCACATTCTCTTTCACACAATCCATTCCAGTCTTAAAGGTCGCCCCCACCTCACAAATATCCTCCTACCACAGTCTTACCGACTATTAGTCACAACAAGATCCTCTTATAGATATTGCAATTATTACTATCATAGCTTTTTTGTTTCAGTTAAATGGAATGCCAATTTTCTACGTTCAGTAATGCACGGGACGTTTGCCTTTCTCCAACTGAGCTTGGTTTTATGTGCGAAAACCGAATGTGGTTATAAGGTGGGTACAATAATTAATAAATACTGTGTATCGCGACCCGAGGACCGCGCTTGAGACACGCTTGAGACGCGAAACATTATCTATGTCTGTGCAACGTGGAGGATAAAAAGCCACATATTAAAACACCCGTCGTTACCTAGAATGAATCTAATAATATTTATTTTTATGTTCGTTCAGCAATGCCCTCAGACAAGAGAAGGTGCCTTGAATGTCCATCTGATACCACATTCGCACATGGACGCCGGCTGGGTCAAGACCTTCGACGAATACTACTATGGAAGTGAGTATATTAAAATGGTATATTAAACAAAAAAAGCTACTACTTATTCATTCTCCAGTGAATCCCTTAGTAGCTTAACGACTCCCACGGGAAGAGAAAGAGCGGTGCTATTGTAGACCAGCCCAAACTATTGAGTCTTGTTAAATATCTCACGTAAAAATAATTTGTTTCAGCCAAAACATCAATTAGTACGGCAAACGTTCAATTGATATACCACTCCGTTATTTCTGAATTGCTGTATGATAAAAAAAGAAAGTGAGTTCTCCGATTTGTTACTCTTTATCATCATCATCAGACCATTGCTGAACCCAGGTGTCGCCGAATTTACACAACTAAGCCCTAAGGTCTTCAATTCTCCTAAACCATTTATAGCCGCCCCTGTTAGAAGAAGTCATCGCTGCCAGAGAATTTCTTACTGCTAAACAGAGAAGATTAAATAGCCCTTACTGATGTTAACTGCTTACAGCAGCCTATATACACTTTGAGATGCGACGTCGAAATCTGAATTGTATTGCATAGGAGCGCCTCTTGTGAAATAGGAAGGACACAGGGCTATAATGGTTTATAAATTTGTGAGGATACAGGAGAGGGTTTTATTGATTGTAGGAGATCTAGTGAGTACGCTGAGGAAGGTACCAGCGCTCTGCTTATTTCAGCCGTGAAGCAGTAATGCATTTCGTCCACACACCTAAGCAATAAAAATTAAAAAAAACATTTTCTTCAAAGATGCGCTTCTTTCATCGTGGAAAGCATTCGTGGCTACGCTTTTTTTTATTAGAAGAAATGCTTTTAAGATATACTAAAAATTCAATCGACCAATTCAGATTCACCTTCTCCGAAACGTCGTATTTCTGGCGCTGGTGGAAAGAACAGCGTCCTATAACGAGGTCCACCTTCCGTAGCCTCGTGCAGGAAGGTCGCGTGGAGTTCGCCGGAGGAGGCTGGGTCCAGAACGACGAAGCGACTTCCGATTATCTCCAGATCATTGACCAATATACTTGGGGATTGAGGTATATTTGTAGAAATTCGAACATACTGTCTTTCTGTATTCTTTTCTGAAATATTCTGTGCAAATTTGTAGTCGAGAATCTGTCAACAGTGAGCAGGACATATTTTTTTAGAAAGGAAGGGTTACAGGTGGCCCTAAGGCTTATCCAATTTCACCAGGACCTGGTGAGCGAACAAAGGCTCAACTAGAAAATATGGGATTTTCTAACAGTTGCCTCCAAAGGAGACCTAACCACTCAGGCGTAGCTGCTTCGCGAATGAATCTGCTACCGGATCGGAATCGCGACCCGCTGTTAAGATCCGGAAAGAAACTCAGCGGGCTAAGAGGACATATTGGGGGTGAACCTGCTCACTTCCAACATAGCAATGAAACTGCAGGAAAAGTTTTAGCACTTAGCACTAGCTTAGCTGGCTTCTTATCAAAAAATTTAACTGGCTATAAATTTTCCAGGAAACTGAACGACACTTTAGGCCTGTGTGGTAAGCCTAAAGCGGCTTGGCAGATTGACACATATGGCCACACCAGGGAACAGGCATCTTTACTGGCACAAATGGGCTTTGATGGCTTATTTATCGGTACATATCTCGGTTTTTATTTATTTATCGCGTAAATTGGTGGTAGGACCTCTTAAGAGTCTGCACGGGTAGGTACCACCACCCCGCCTATTTCTACCGTGAAGCAGCAATGCGTTTTGGTTTGAAGAGTGGGGTAGCCGTTGTAACTATACTGAGACCTTAGAACTATAACTCAAGATGGGTGACGCATTTACGTTGTAGATGTCTATGGGCTCCAGTGACCACTTAACACCAGGTGGGCTGTGAGCTCGTCCAACCATCTTAGCAATAAATAAAAACTGATGATCAATTTTACGATCCACCTTGTATTTAATGGTTCCCGGAACCTCTAGGCATCACAAAGTTAGCCCTGGATGGCTTAGATTCACAAATCATCCCGGCAGTTGGCGCTGCAGTCGGTATCTAGGTTATTTATCTATACTGCAACTAAACGGCTGGATAGACTTCAATGAATTTTTGTGTATGCTTTCAGAGGACACATCTGTCGGGTTCGCTAGTTTAATATAAATTCCTCACCATGTTAAGTTTTATTTTTTATTTTATTTTTATTGCCTAGATATGTGGACGAGCTCACAGCCCACCTGGTGTTAAGTGGTTACTGGAACCCATAGACATCTACAACGTAAATGCGCCACACACCTTGAGACATAAGTTCTAAGGTCTCAGTATAGTTACAACGGCTGCCCCATCCTTCAAACCGAAACGCATTACTGCTTCACGGCAGAAATAAGCGGAGCGGTGGTACCTACCCGTGCGGACTCACAAGAGGTCCTACCACCAGTAAAAAAAGTGTGAAGTTTTAGGTAGTAAATGTGTAAATCTAAGCTATGGATCCCATTGACAGAGTTGTGATGTGTGATACGCATTCTTCTTCTTTTTGCTCTTACTCACTATGCACGTGCTGGAGGCTTCTTATAATGCATGCTGCATAGGAATTTGGCAGGACCGGCTGCCTAACGTCAACCCTTTTTAAGCTCAATAGGGAGAAACTGTTTCTGTTTTATCTTTTTTTTTTCTTTTTAAACTTATTCTTTTTTGGTTCTATATTTTGCATTTTATTATTTCAAACATTTACACGATTTGGTATCTCAAATAGTCAAAGGATAAAAATATCACATTTGATTCGTTTTTCTGTTATGTCAAAAAAAATTATGGTATAAGCTATATAAGTACACTGTGGATGTTATAACAAAACTGTTGAAACTTCATCCTCATGTCACAAAGTGGGTAGCAGCAGACATTTCCATTTCCTTGAGGTCTTTCTATACACCTAGTATTGACAACAGCAGTAGCCCTTATCTTAATGAATATACAGTTGAATTTCCTGCATCAGGTCGGGTCGATCACAAAGAAAGAGAATCTATGATCGAAGAGGATAGAATGGAATTCATTTGGCGTGGTAGCGACGTATTAGGTAAATTGAGTTTTTTCTTTTTTTATTGCTTAGATGGGTGGACGATCTCACAGCCCACCTGGTGTTAAATGGTCACTGGAGCCCATAGACATCCACAACGTAAATGTGCCACCCAGCTTGAGAATGAGTTCTAAGGTCTCAACTATAGTTACAACGGCTGCCCCACCCTTCAAACCGAAACGCATTACTGCTTCACGGCAGAAATAGGCAGAGTGGTGATACTCACCCGCGCGGACTCACAAGAGGTCCTACCACCAGTAATTACGCAAATTATAATTTTTGCGGGTTTCATTTTTATTACACGATGTTATTCCTTCACCGTGGAAGTCAATCGTGAGCATTTGTCATGTACACGACGTATTTCTTTACAAAAATTTGGTACTTTACTGGTGGCAGAACCTCTTGTGAGTACGCGCGGGTGGGTACCACCGCCCTGCCTATTTCTGCCGTGAAGTAGTAATGCGTTTCGAACATGAACATTTGTGAACATTGTTGAGTACGTATTTCATTAGAAAAATTGGTACCCGCCTGAGATTCGAACAGTGGTGCATCGCTCAACACAAATGCATCGGACGTCTTATCCGTTAGACCACAACGAGTTATATTTATATAATATATTGTCGAATAGTCCCCCTTCAATATGCTACAGCTATTACCTAGATGAGTCATGGCGGTCCGCGTTTCTTACAATATTCAATAGAAAACTTGCGGTCAGGGGTATTCTAGGCAGGTGAGTTGCGGCGGTCCTAAGGGACCACTAATTTTGTTTTGGCAAATTAATAGTATCCACCCACACGGTTCTTTACCTATTAAAGATGTTTTTTTCATAGTGCTTTAACTAAAATGAATTTTTTTTTTTAGGTAAAATGTCTGATATAATGACCCACACGTTATTCAATCTCTACAATCCTCCTGAAGGATTTTGCTTTGACATACTGTGCAATGACGAACCCATCGTCGACGATCCTGACAGCAAGTCGTACAACGCTGATACACGAGTAAGTCCTTAACATAAAGCACGAGAGGAATTTTTTTATTGCTTTCATGGGTGGACGGGCTCACAGCCCACCTGGCGTTAAGTGATTACTGGAACCCATAGACATCTACGACGTAAATGCGCCACTCACCTTGAGATATCAGTTCTAAGGTCTCAGTATAGTTAAAACGGCTCATCCGCCCTTCAAACCGAAACGCATTACTACTTCACGGCATAAATAAGCAGGGTGGTGGTACCTACCCGCGCAGACTCACAAGAGGTCCTACCACCATGTGTGTAATGATTTACTGTAACAACGAGAGATTCCACCCGACGTGGTGAAGCACGCGAAATGTTATAGACACAATTCTCTGCGTGGGTATTTGTACTATGACAGAAATCTTCGATGGAAACAACCTCAATGATTTAGCAATTGATAGAGAAAGATTATTAAAAAAATTGTGGCACAAATGAAACGTACTGGTGGTAGGTAGAAGCTACGCAACGCAAATGGAATTTCATCTCAATGGCATAGCATATATTTTGTTGTAACTATACTTGAGGTCTTAGAGCTTGTATCTCAAGGTGGGTGGCGCATTTACGTTGTGGATGTCTATGGGCTCCAGTAACCACTTAACACCAGGTGGGCTGTGAGCTCGTCCATCCATCTAAGCAATAAAAAAAAAATAAAAAAAATTACGGTGCATGGTTTTAAACTGAAACTTCGATTAGGATAATTTTTTCCCTACAGGTAAACGACTTTATCGTTCAAATAGAGAGACAAGCGAAATATTATGATCACGACAATATCTTGGTCACTGCCGGAGGTGACTTCACATATCAAAGCGCTGCAAATTGGTTCATTAATATGGATAAATTGATTAAGTAAGACACGTTTTTTACTTGTAGACTTGACTCCCGGCTCTCCTGTATATAACCTAGTATTTAGCTTAGTTATAGAAGCCTATAGACATCAGAACGAGTGCCGTTGATCTTAATTCATCTGGTCAAGAAAGCAAACTACCTTTATAAGGAATCACAAATCAAAATATTACGAATTCGATTTTTTCAACAAACATTACTAAGTTTGCCATCATATGGCTAATTGTTGTATTTTAGTGTATATTCTACAGTTAACTTGTCGCTTATGGCTTGTATCTTCCGGCTTTGGTGTTTCGTGAGCGCTTTCACGTGTTCTCCTTCAAGGCTTGTGGAGAGCACGCAGCTGCAGTCAGGGACTTGGCTGTGCCCCTGACATTGCTATTGTTCAGCAACGGTAGAAACTCACCACCATTATGACGTATGCTGCTCATCTACCTACTCCTTCTCCTTGCGTCGTGCTCCTCAGTACTAAGGGTTTAACTTAACAGACCACTTTTGGTTGGACTATTAGTCTGTTCCTCCATTCCCTCTTATCCTTCTTACCTATCCAGCTCATCTACTAAGTAGCTACAGACCCTGGTCGCTTTTTTATTTTCAGTCATGTGAACACTCATCCGGTCAATCTGTCGGACGTGAATATATTCTATTCGTCTCCCTCCTGCTACTTGAAGGCCATATACCTACACGGACGCAGAGATAAAGCCGTATTCACCGAAAGGGTAAATACATAAATAATTATTCTCGGTGGAGCAGCAGGATTATTATTTTTTGCTACCCATTCGCTGGTAGCCTAAGGGACTATTCCTACTACTCGCGGACGGGTAGGTGAGCTCACGGGCTTAGCCTGAGAAAATTTTCTAACACTAACCCCAGCAAGAACAGTGCTTCGCTAAGTCTACGACCGGATCGGAATCGCGATTCGCTGAGAACATCCGACGAGAAACTCAATGGGTTGTGTCCATGGGTTCGTGTGTGACTTTGGATGTTTGCACGTGTATTTAGAAGAAGCTTAATTGGACCCACTTCCTCTCAACCTACAGTATTTAATTGGTTAAATCTTGGTTTAGTTTCACTGAAAAGACATTTTTACGAAAAGCTTTTCAATGGTCAATGTTTGCTTAGATGGCTGGATGAGCTCACGGCCCATCTGGTGCTAGGTGGTCACCGCAACTGACATACATAAACAACGCAAGCACCGCCACCCACCTTGAGACATTAGTTCAATATCTCAGTTTTAAAGCACAACGATTGCTTCAGCTTTCAAGCTAAAACGCGTCACTGTTTCACGGCAGAAAGAGGCAAGGTGCGTATACCTACTCGTGTGAACCCACAAGACTCCTTACCAGCAGTAATTTTATTGCGATAGGCTCTCTTACCAAGACATGGTAGTTTTACTGGGTCCTGACTAAGAAACTTCCCAAGCAATAAATAGCAGCACTGACAAGCAATTACATACACAATTAGCTATGATAACCCGCCCATCATCAAAGGTTTATTCTTAGAAAAGTGTTTTATTGTGAATTTTCAGTCAGACCATATGCCTTATGGAAGCGATTCATCTACCTACTGGTCGGGCTACTACTCCTCAAGGCCAAGCTTTAAATACTTCATTAGGAAGGCACATGTGTTTCTGCAGGTTTGCAATTAATTCCAATATTTCCTTTGTTGTCTGGTGAGGTCATCTCTAGTCGTGAGGCGCTGGATTTAGATAATGCAGAATCGGTCCTTATGGTGTAGCTTTGAGGAGATCTAAGTCCAGAAGTGGACGTCCGTGGATCGACGATTATGATTCATGTAGTTAGCCATTATCTAGTTGGCACTAAAGAAGTATATGAGGTTCATATACTTCTGTCCACTCTAAGACAGGAATTTATCCACAATTCATACATATCACAGTCGTTTACTCTTGGCAGAGCAGTATGTTCATGTAGAATCCTTGTTAGCTGTTCTCCATAATTCGCGAACTGAGGCTTGATGCACGCAATCACTAAGTGGGGTTTTGGCAAGGCTTTTCACTTGATCAGTCCAGCCCATGGGGTTTCGTCCACGAGGTCTTTTACCGTTGAACCTGCCCTGAACAGCAAGTTTCTCGATAGACTCTTAACAATTGATACAAGATCTGTCTATTCCTGATGCACGGCAGTTAGGCTTGAGAGGTTTCAAGGTTAGGTCAGGTCTAGCCATACAATTTTCAAGATTCACATTGTGATGCCGATAATAATAATTTCAGGTCGCGAAGCAAGTAACAGTCCTTGCCCGTATGGGGGATTCGTACGAACTACACCTTCTGAGGCACGCTGTCAACCTGGTGGTACACCATGACGCTATAACTGGTAACAAAGCTACAGATACCCAGCTTTTCATATAACATTTGCTGTCTTCTTTATACGTTCGTCTCGATTTCTCCTCAAATCAGATTTAAATGATGATGAATCATTTTCCTGAATAGGTACAAGTCAGCAGCACGTCACAAACGACTTCCTGAGAATTTTAAGCGAAGCCGTCGATGCTTGCACCAATAAAGTGTCATACTTACTCAGGTAATGTTATGTTTGTAAGTTCTAGTGCTAACTCAAGAGATATAAATGTCAATAGGTAATTCCTCCCTTAAATTTTCCCCAATCATTAATTATTTCTACAGCTTAAGCCTTCACGGCCTTATTTTAAATACTAGATGATAATTTAAGGGGATATCAGGGGCCTTATTCTCATTTGCCTAAAAGGGCAATAAAAAAATAACCTTATAAAAGCATGTAAGCCATTGGTACCTAATTTAAACGCCCGCTCGGTTAATAAGATTACATCGGTCCTCTCTCTTGTCTGGCCATAAGCGCTTTAATAACTGAAAACTAATGAAATATTTAATCTTATGCCGATCTCAAACAGTCTTTCTGTGACAGGGCATGTCCAAATATCGCCAACTCACGAAAACCCTGGTAAACAACCCGAGAAATAACAGTGTGCGATATTTTTAATCTTGTTAATTGTTCTCAGCAACTTAACTCCGACTTGGGGCGCGGGCAGACGGTCGAAAAACAGCCAGCACTTCACCGTGTGCCATCAGCTAAACATCAGCCAATGTCGAGTGAGTTTCAATAATGACACGTACTTTTTGAGGATTAGAGCTATTTTCTGATAAGCGGGTTTGTGGTTGGCCTTTGGTATATGGTAATACACCTGGCCTTTTCACTTTTTTGGCCCTAGGTCTTGATCGTGGGGTAAATTGCCTTCGAAGATTTCGTCCCCAGTAATTCGTGCGATTTTCTCAGTCATTAAACTCCACTGCAGTGGCGTAGCTATACGGTGTCAGGGCTGACACAATACCACTAGTGGTAGGAAGTTTTATGAGCTTACGTGGATAGGTACCACCACCCCTATTTCTACCGTGAAGCAGTCATGCATTTCGGTTTGTAGGATGAGGTAGCCCTCTTGTACTGTAAACAAAATGAACTGTTTCAAAAATGTTTTGATGATTCGATTATTATCTGGCGTAAGTATATCGTTTTTGAAGGAGTAAACTTTGAAGGTAGCGAAGCAACTGCTGCCCTTTAGTTGTTAGGTTTCCTTCGGAGGAGGGTGGCTGTTAGCAAATATTATCCCTCCTGGCCGAGCCCTTGCTTGCTCGTCTGTCCCGGTGAAACTGGAAAGGTCTCCGGGCCACCAGTAATTCTTCCTTCATAAAAAAAACTTTGAAGGTGAATAAATTTGGATGAATAACTAAAACTAATATTCTGTGTAATATTAATCTGTTACCGGTACTTTCTTGACAGAGTACTACCATAAATAGTTTATTTTATTTTATTTTTTATTCCTTAGATGGGTGGGCGAGCTCACGGCCCACCTGGTATTAAGCGGTTACCGGAGCCCATAGACATTTACAACGTAAATGCCGTCACCCACCATGAGATATAAGTTGTAAGGTCTCAGTATAGTTACAACGGCTGCCCCACCCTTCAAACCGAAACGCATTACTGCTTTACGGCAGATATAAGCAGGGCGATAGTACCTACCCGTGCGGACTCAGAAGAGGTCCCACTACCAGTAATTACGCAAATTATAATGTTGCGGGTTTCATTTTTATTACACGATGTTATTCCTTCACCGTGGAAGTCAATCATGAACATTTGTCGAGTACGTATTTCATTAGAAAAATTGGTACCTGCCTGAGATTCGAACACCGGTGCATGCGAATGCACCGGACGTCTTATCCGTTAGGCCACGACGACTCAAAACCATAAATAGTACATATTATAATATGTATCCTTTGCAACACGCTTTAAGGAATTTTTTGTTTCTGCATTTCCCATTTCTCTTACTTCATCTATTTTGATTATTACAAGCAATTACACAACAAAATAGTAAAAGAATAATATCTGATTTTATACATATTTTATATTTTAACAACTATCCGTTCCAATCCTAAGTGTGAAACTCACACGTTGGCCAGTATTAGTTCTCTAATACAATTCTTTTTCGACAGTTCACGGAGACTCAAGAAAGCATGGTCCTGCTAATTTACAATCCGCTAAGCGTCAAGGTCTATCACCACTTGTGCTTTCCCGTCAAAGCTCTCCACTTCACCATAAGAGATTTTAATGGTATTTCTAAGTTTTTTTTATCATCGAAGGCTTTTACCCTCCCCCCTCCCCTCCTACATACCCCTACTTATAACCACCTACTTATTACCCCTAACTATAACACTTATGTCCCCTAACATACCATCAGATATAATACATGCTTTTAGGCATTAACGCAAACTTAAAAAACTTATTTTGAACTTATTTTAAGTGAAATATATGTTTTTTCTGATTGTCTCACTACTTACAGGAAAAATCTGTCGCGGATCATCTCCCAACTAAATTAATCTTAAGCAATGAATGAAATGTATTCAAATCTTAGCTGTATATTTTTTTTATTTTTGATGTTAATGCACTGTCGATTGCACCTATAATTGAGGTGACATCTGCCATGAACTTTTGTCAATTTGTCAATGTTTTGTATTGATGATCACTTTGTTGGTGCAACTTAATAAATAAATAAATAAACTCGTTAAAATGTGCAGAGATAATTTCTAATTTACAGTAGGAAGATCGGCAAAAGGCATATCATCCATCGAGCATGTGATATTGGTCGGTTAAATAACGCCGCGCCGCTCTGTGTGTCCGGAACTTGTATTAATGCAAGAATCTCGAAAATGTTGTTAACATGATTCAGATATTTGTTAGATTTCTCTATTTTTATTGCTTTTACGAGTGAAAGAGTTCACTACTAATTTCTTTTTTTTTTTTTTTCTAATTATGTGACAGAATCTTTAATGAATATGGTACTATCCCTCTGCACAGACGAAGATATAGAGTATCAACTAGTGCCTCTTCCGGCTGCAGTACTAAGTCTTACTGGGCGAACGTCTTCAGCGATCCAGGAGCTGTGTTTTGAAGCAGAGAACATTCCACCCCTAGGGTACACTTCATATTACCTCACGCTTGTCCGTAATCAACTGGTGAGTTACTTCGGTATCTGATTGTCTTCTCCTTGGTATGATGATTTGTTAGGACGTTAGCCTCGAACCAGTGTACCGTGGGCTTTAGATTCAGTTTCATTGTTTGCTGTTTATTATCGTATGGGTTATATCCAAGAGATCTTAACACTCGAGACAATTGAAAAGGTTTGTTTTGTTTGAATCATTAGTTTGTATCATTATGTTCTGTTGTCTATAACATCATATCTATATGGACTTGAGAACTATACTCCGATAGTTCCAAGATGACGACTGATAGAGGAGAATGGAAAAGAAAAATTCGCTAGCCGACCCTACCTAGTGGGATAATGTGGTGACAAATAAGAAGATTTACCAAGCTAGCCAGCCGCTATATCAGTCATCGCAGTTATAATAAATTTCTACGCCTTATTAAATAAAACATATCATCGGATATTCAAATATATTTTAAACTTTCTCATCCTACCTATGCTGATAGCCTTGAGAGGCTATATCAGCTTCGCACTAACGTGTAGGTGAGCTCACGGGGCTCAAACCGGAGTGGTGCTAACACTGGCCCTAGCAAGAGCAGTGTTTTGCAGAATCTACCACCGAATCGGAAACGCGACCCACTGAGAAGATCCGGTGAGAAACTCAGTGGGCTGTGTCTGTGGGTTATTTCGCCCGTCGAGCCCTTCGTCGCAAGCGACGGGTTCGCGAAGACGGTGACCGGTGCTTGCGGTACCAGGATAAACTTAGTAAAATACTTCTCCTATTCAGGAAGAAAACGAATACGCCAAGAAATCAGCTAAGGGCCACGTCGAGGCGGAACAAGAGGTCGCTACTTCTATATCCAATGAGGTACTACTCGTAAATAACCTTCCTAACCTAGTCGATCTTTGTGTAGAAGAAAGACAATTAGTACAGATCTCTGAAGAGGAGTGTAAAGTAGAACATTAGGTACCGAAGGTAGAAAGGTAGGTCAGCGCCCTTTAGTAAGCACCCGGTCAAAATTAAATAGGTACGAATGTAACAGGTTCATGGAAAAGGCTGAGGCCAATAAATAAAACCGGTATTCTATGGTATTGTATTCTCCAGTTTTCGCGAATCTTAGACAATCTTAAAGGTCAGTAAAAGGAGAGATTAAACAATAAAAATAGTTTTGTCATTTTTTTTTCGGGTCATAGGCCTAGGTCCCCGCGCCTAGGTGACGCGTGATATGATAGTCATATTATATCCTTTTTTTGGGGCCGCAGGCTAAACCACCTACGAAGTCCATGGTATGTTGGACTGGTCCGCAGATGTTGGGAGCGGACCACGAGCCCAAGGGATAGAATTTAGAGCCCCACCCACTAAACTAATCTCTTGTATTCTCATCCAAGCGTCCTACAGAACCCGGGTTATTAGATCCTTCACCTAGATTTTTTTTTTATATCCCAGTATCTCAAAATCTCGATCGAACAATCCACTGGTCTGCTGTCTTCCATCCAACACGTTGATGGGGTATCAATAGCTGTATCTCAGAACTTCCACTACTACGGTCAGGGTAAGAGCAGTCAGCAGTCCGGAGCCTATAGCTTCAGGCCAGAGACGCAGCGACCAGTGCCGGTAAGTTAACTAAACAGAAAATCATAAGTCGCCAAGAAGCTATTCATTTGAATGCACTAGTAGATAAAATAAAAGAACCATGCTCAAAAAAGAAACGATATTTTTGGTATTTCCTCTATGAAAAGTTCGACACTTCACAAAATCACTGAATCAAAAAATGCGTAGTTCAGATTCAAAATAAAGACTTTAGTGGAGAGCAACGTATCGAATTATGACAGTAAATTACATTTTGCCTTTACTTGTGCCTTGATAAATCGATTTCTATGACAGGTCACCGACAAGGCCACTTACAACGTGGTACGAGGTACGCTGATAAAAGAGATCAGACAAAGATTCAATGATTGGGTGTCCCAGGTCATAAGATTGTACCGTGGCGAGGAGTTCATTGAGCTTGAGTGGATTATAGGCCCGGTTCCTGTAGGGTAAGTGAAACAACAGAAGTGAAGTTAACGCTTCTATCTTCAACTTTTGTCCAGCCAATGCCGAGTGTAGGTCTTTTCATAACAGTAGGCAGCGATTTGGAACGGTAGGCAGCAGCTTCGATGGTAGGTAGTGGCTTAGAACGGTAGGCTGCGGCTTGCAACGGTAGGTAGCGGCTTGGCTTTGCCCCTGGCATTGCTGAAGTTCATGGGCGACGGTAACTACTTTCCACCAGGTGGGCCGTATGCTGATCTGCCTACAGGGCTAAAAAAAATACACTATCACAGGGGACTGTATGTTGTTAATTTACAACCTCCTTTAGAATAAGCATTGTGAATAACATTCTAGGACTGACTTGGGAAAAGAAGTCGTGATGCTGTTCTCAACTAACATCAGCAACAGCGGAGAATTCTTCACCGATTCCAACTCGCGACAGATGATGAAACGGACCTGTTGGAACGAGACGACTAGTGAGTTGAAGCAAAGCTTTAATAAAAGTAGAACTTCTGACATTTAAGCTGGATTTGAATTTATTTATTGCTTGGATGCAACAGTTTTCCGAATCGGCATTATAGAGAAATGTATACAAAGTTAATTTGGAGAAAATTTAAGCAGTGTGACGGGTTTATTTGTGGCTTAGATGACTGCCCGAGCTCACGGCTTACCTATGATGTTAATTGGTTACCGAAACCCATGGACATCAACAACGTGAATGTCGTGACCCACTTTGAGACACGAGTTCTAAGTCATAGTCTTACAGTACAACGGCTGCCCCACCCTTCAAACTGAAACACATTACTGGTTCACGACAGAAATGGGCTAAGTGGTGATACCTACCCGTACGGATTCACAAGATTCCTACCACCAGTAATTTTGGTTTTTGTTAGACTATATCATTTTTTTTACACGGTCTTTCATCTATAAAGTTCATGGTACTGACAGTGTACATAATTTCGGTAATGCTCCCTCAAAAGCACTCACTCAGGGTTTTCGCTGAGGAGTTTCTACCAATGACTGTCAGTCCTAGACGCTATTTATCCAACCACTGCTTCCAACCATTTCCATTGTGACCCATTACTCTATAATTCCGTCAAATTACGGTTTTTCAAACTGGGAGTTGGGAGAGGGGAGGTTTATTGCAGGATTTATCAAAATATTTTCAATATCAACAGGCCAACAGCAAAAGAAGAGTATCGCGTCATGCTATTACCCGGTGACGTCAAGAATATGTATTCGCTGCGCAAACAGCAGCATTGAAATGTGCGTTTTAAATGACCGAGCCCAAGGCGGTACTTCATATAACGACGGAGAAATCGAACTAATGGTGAGTTACTTCGAAACTCTGAAAGAGTTAAATCTATATAAATATAAAAATAAATTGCTGTTCGTTAGTCTCGCTAAAACTCGAGAACGGCTGGACCGATTTGGCTAATTTTAGTCTTAAATTATTTGTCGAGGTCCAGAGAAGGTTGACAAGGTAGATAAATATGAAAATGCTCGAAATTAAATAAAAATAATAATTTTGTTTTCCCTTTGATGTGTTCCCCGTCGGACGGATTCCTTTTGTTTGTCTTAAGTTTATTTTATACAAAATTTTAGGTATTTTATTTATCGATTAAGACACTACGAAGTCTGCCGGGTTAGCTAGTAGCATCTAAAATCAAGTATAATTGTTTTTTGGCCAGCAATGGAGGACAAATTAATAGACTGTGTCTAAATTTCTATGTATATGGGTATATTAAAAAACGGACTTTTGTGAAGCCTATCTGGTCACATACATACGCACTGCAAAGAAGTCCAATCTTGCCTCGAAAAAATCTCATACGCACTGGCTGAAAGTTCCATAAATATAGTTCCCCAGTCAGCGAGTCAAGCCTTGTCCATCAACCTCTAGAATCCACTAGTTTCCCCTTTCCAGATACATAGAAGACTTCTAACAGATGACGGGTTCGGCTTGGAAGAGAATCTCAACGAGGAATCTTACGGCAGAGGACTGGTCGTTAGAGGGAAACACAGAATTCTGTTCGGAAACTTCAGACAAGAACGTAAGTGATTCTATTGAAAATGTGTACCGTTTCAGCCCTATTCCCATAAGAAAAGCGGGTGACGTCGTACGAATATCGCTTGAGTTCATGAAACTCGATTGCCGTTGTTTTTATTACATTGATGGCTAAACGAGCTCATAGCTCATTAGAGACCAGTAAACGTAAATACCTCATTTCGCTTTGATACATCAAACTCATCATGTGTATCACAGTTGTATCACTCTTCGCTTGAATTATGGCTATTTCATGGTAGAAATAGGCTGGTCGTTGATATTTCACCACTTCCAAAATGCTACCATATGATCCACTAGGCCTTGTTATCTTGAACTCCAAATGGTATCCTATCAGGTTAAATAGAGGTCCGCGGTCAACAGCATATAATCCACCATCATCATCATCATCATGTTTTCCTATTACCCTCTGCTGGGGTGTAGGGCTCGAATCAAATTTTTCCATTTGTATCGGTCTTGGGCAGTCTGTTTTAGCTCCTCCCACGTCATGCCCAAGACCCCTAGCTCCTGCTCCACCGAGCGACGCCAAGTTGTTCTGGGGCGGCCTCTCTTCCTTTTACCAGACAATTTCCATAATCCACCATAATAGTTTTAATTGCCTTACATTTGGCGCTGACAACTTCAACACCCCTAGTTGAAGAGCTATCGTTCTCGGAGAGAGTATCTCAAGCAGCCAGGCGCTGGAGATATGAACCCTGGTTGTTCTTTGCGCCTGGAGAGAAGATTAGCAGGAGAAAATGGCAGAATGTTAGAAATAAACGTGTAAGTTGAAATTCTGCAGCGTTTTCTTTCCGTCAATGGGTCCGAACCTCATACAGGTGTCGGCGACTAGGGGGCACACGAGGCAACCCTTTAAGACCACAACAGAAATACTAAACTTTTTTTTTGCTTAGATGTGTGGACAATCTCACAGCCCACCTGGTGTTAAGTGGTTGCTAGAGCCCATAAACATCTACAACGTAAATGCCGCCACCCACCTTGAGATATGAGTTCTAAGGTCTCAGTATAATTACAACAGCTGCCGCACCCTTCAAACCGAAACGCATTACTGCTTTATGGCCGAAATAGGCGGGGTGGTGGTACCTACCCGTGCGGACTCACAAGAGGTTCTACCACCAGTAAAAATTCCGCTATAGATGGCGTTACTCTTACCGGCGTAGCAGTGTACGTAGTCTGATAGCCTCATATCAAATTAACTTGGCAATCCACTCAACACGGTCAATCGACTGATCTATACCTAAAGAAAAAAGCCACAATAAAGCCAAGCGGTTCGTTAACTTTGCCACAGTACTCATTGCTGAGAATGCGAGGCTTACCACGACATATCCACATCCTCACCCTGGAGCCGTGGAAATCTGGGAGCGTTCTGTTGAGGCTCGAAAACGTTTTGGAAGAATCCAGAGGTACTGTACATTTCAGTAACAAAATTAAACCTTAATCAAACCATTTAAAGCCAAACGAATATAATTGATACGCTTTTATTATTAGCTTCAGACTTATGTATTATATGTTAGTATGTAACGGAATCTTTTAACATGATTTTGACCCCCTTCAAAACGACGGATTAACTCGAAATTTGGTATACTTATGAAGGACTCCCACGCTTTTTTACAACTAGATGATGACTGAGCTTTGGTTGGGATTTTCTTTTGATAACGCCATCTTGTTGTGTCTTTAAAGCGGTCAGTTGCCCTCAATTAAGAAAAATAGTATTATTATTCGCCAATAGATGTCGGGAAGAATTAATTATTGAAAACACGAATAAAACATTTTTTGAAAATGAATCATAGCTAGATTGATTTATCGCCCCCGAAATCCCCTGTATAGTAAATTTTATGAAAATCGTTGGAGCCGTTTCCGAGATTCAGATTATATACATATATATTAATATACAAGAATTGCTCGTTTAAAGGTATAAGATAAAATCATTTTTTCTTACATTATTTTTAATTAAAATTTATTAAAATTTATTTTCTATTTTTTAGTTGGATATTCTATAAAAGCGTATTTTGTTAGTTCTTTTAAACGATTATTTATTTTTAAAATAATTCAAGTCACGCTTTTGCGCCTTTATGGCCCAAATCCAGAAACCTTCAACCTTTACTAACAGTCTAGCCTTGAACTATCAACCTAATCGGGAAAATGACGAGTGATATAAAAATGGACGCATGGCACAAGAAACAAATCAATATTCATTATTAGTTGTCTAAATTAGAAATAATTAAACATTTTCAAAACCGCATAATCATAATTTGCGTAATCACTGTTGCGAGCGCCGATTGGTACCTAAGTACCACCACAGCAAAGCATTACTTGAAACACCAGAAAAACAATTGAAGCTTATACCTCAAGCCTCAAGATGGGAATTGGCATTCACGCTTTGATTACCATGCGCTAACCGGTAACCACTTAACACTAAATGGTCTGTCTGTTATTTCACTCATTTACGCAATACAAAATAAAAGTTAAAGTTGTGCATTATTACCCCTTTATGAGTCTCTGGAGAACAAATATAATGAGACAAAATTCAAAAGTTTACAAGTAGCCTCATCTCCTAACTGAAGGCAACGATCCTATATTATTATTGTATTATTTTCCGGTATACGCTCACAAAATTTCGCGATCCCAAATAGTTGGAGTCACCAGTGTTGAGTCTCTATATCGGGCAATGATTAATAAGACACGTGCTTAAGTGACTAAGGTATAGGTATTGGGATTACAACCTAACGTGCTATCGACAGCCCGACAATCCCGAAACTGGCTTAGTATCACTGCAATATAATTATCGCTAACACAAACATATTATTACTTGCTATGGGGACATATGTGATCCCTATAAAAATTTCAGGATTTGTTTAACTGCATCTTAAAATAAGGCCTTGAAAATTGCACACCTCAATATTATACGCACGTCTTGATTTTATAAATGGTGTTCATTTGATAATGATAAAGCTCGTTTGGCTTCCAGATCACCTCAACCCTGAGAACCCCGAGAGGACCACGAGAGCCTCCCACATAACTGTCGACCTACGCAAATTATTCGCCGTCCCAATCAAATTGGCGAGGGAGACGACCCTCGCGGCGAATCAGTGGCTGGACGACGCAAGACAGATGGATTGGAGCACTAGGTATCTTTGCCTACTAACCTGCGTTAGGCTACAAAGGAAATGATAGTGACACGAATGAAAGCGAAGTCGGAAACTATAGCTTATACCCTCCTATTGCTTTCTGATGATGACCCAAGGTACAAAAGAACTTCGCTTTTCCTACCTGAACTTCAACCTTTGCGTGTGGACGCCGCTGTGGAGTTTGGATATGCAAAACTTCTACGGAAGGGATTGATACTGAAATTAAGAGTATTTACTTAAACTAATGTTCCCCCAGTAGTCGAAGTTCGACTATAATTAATTGAAATTATAAGTTTGAACATTATTATGGTTCAAATACATGGTAGTGTGTGTAATGTTTCTTTTTTTTCTCAATTGATAATGTATTTTTATGCATAATTAAAAAAAATATTAACATTCTGCACTCCTTCTCTATATTTTCTTTATGTGTGGGAAATTTTATATTCCACCGTCCGTGCAATTTTCGTAAAAAGGGATACGAGGTTTATGCTTCACGTACTAAAATATTAATTCGTAATACGTAAGATAGGAATCAGTTTAGGACTTGGTTGGATTCTGAAGATCTACTCTGACGAGAGATTGAGAATTATTTAATAGCTCTGAGGAGACTCTTTTGGGAAACTTTGTGAAATACAATATTATGGTTATGGTATTACAAAAGGTGCAGTATATAAATTTATTATAAAAGGTATGGTATTATAAAACACTAGCCGTATTCTCCCGCTTCGCTGGGCATTTAAAGTTAACATTATTATTTATTGTCATTATTATTAGGGAGTCCAACACTCATATAAATATTAGCCTACCCATTAAGTAGCCACCCTGCCTATTTCTGCCGTGAAGCAGTAATGCGTTTCGGTTTGAAGGGTGGGGCAGCCGTTGTAACTATACTTGAGACCTTAGAACTTATATCTCAAGGCGGGTGGCGCATTTACGTTCTAGATGTCTATGGACTCCAGTAACGACTTAACACCAGGTGGGCTGTGAGCTCGTCCACCCATCTAAGAAATAAAAAAAATATGTATTTTCTACATGGATACCAAGTTTCAAGTCAATCGGATGCACGGTTCAGTAGTTATAACGGAACATCCGTAAAAACCACTCTAGATTTATATATTAGTATAGATTTACTTAAAAAAGGAAGATCTCCCAATAAGCTTTGCTTATTGCTTACTAAGGTAAAAGTCGCTCGGAACCTTGTATATCCTGACTAAATTGGAAAATTCCTTTAGTGCAAGTCAATGTGTAACTTGTCTCGATCAAATATGCTTTAGGTATGTCTACAGCGGATCTGATGATGGAGTTACTCACGAAGATGGAGTGACCGAAGACTATGATAACAAACAAACATACCAGACGGACGCTGGGTCAGGTGAACTTATTTTTTTTAGATACACTATAAAATTATTACATGAGACCTTACAACTCATGTCTCAAGGTGGGTGGCGCATTTACGTTGTAGATGTCTATCGGCTCCAGTAACCACTTAACACCAGGTGGGCTGTGAGCTCGTCCAACTACCTAAGCAATAAAAAAACCAAGTCTGGCATTTTGTAATTTTACTGTTTACAGGAACAGATAAATGACGAGACGTGGTGTTGATACTGTGTTTAATGGACGACTGGTTATATAAAGTGATGCTTACAATATGCTCAGTTTAATAATATCGAGGGGTGAAAGGCTATTTGCCTTAAGTAATATTTCGCTTAATATGCAACATTTATCTTTGTAATTAAAGGTGCGTTTTATATTGGTATCAACAGTTCGATGTTTTCAATTGTTTTGTTATGATATTTTATTTATCTATGATTAGTTATTATATTTTTTTCTAAATTTCAAACATTAAATGGTTCTTCTGTAAAGTTGCAAGAATATCGCTTAAACCAATTAGTTTTTCAGCCCGCGATATGTAATACATAGGTAGTTTTCCAATTACAGAGCATAATGCGACTCAGTGACGCACAACGCCGAATTATGCTGAAGCTTAATTGGAACGTGAATTAGTTTTCAAATGCATCAGCAGAGTGCGCTAAGTTAGCACATAATTAAAATAATTAGCATTGATTATTTCTAAGAAACTACGACGAAACGAAAGCCTTACAATTTTTTTCAACATTAAATAATATTACTAACGATAATATAAACAAAATTTCGATCAATGCCAACTTAAAGAAAAAACACTTGTAAATTTTCTGTGACTGAGTCGGTATCGATTGCGAGTATCACGCGAGAGCAGTACTTTTGAGAGTGCTCGATTGTGCGAAGCGTTGCTGTAGTTGGAACATTCAACGTTGAGCATTATGCCGCATAATGCGCTCTTGTGCTGTAATTGGAAAACTACCATAGTCACGTGCCTACCCGCCAACGACCTCACAATATTTAATGCTAGCCAATCCCACGACAGCTTCGGAAGAGGAAACGCAACGCAGAAGATTCCAGAAATATACGAAACCCAAAAGAACGGTCCGCCGTCACAGACACAAGAGAGCAATCGTCAATAGGGATGCGACAAAAACAACCAATGTAACATCTCGATCGGGGCTATTGAACAGAACAAAATCCGAATTGAATGATTCATTTAGTGACCCAAATTCTTATTCTAATGATACAAAAATTAAGAAGAATAAAGCGAAGTCGCAAAAAGACAGGATGCATTATTCGAATTATCAGAAAGAGATTCCATACGAAAACTACTCGTCTGAAGAGAGTTTATCTTTGAGAAAGATATCAAAGGTGATTGAAGACGCGAAGACTGAGAAAGGTAATGCTTACAGAATTTAAACGTTCTACTTCGAATCATTATTTCATTGCCAAAATCAGGGTAAATAATATAAAGACCATTCAAATAGGGTCTCTATAATGAAACAATATTACTTATATTCTCTTTATCTAGTCTTTTTTTTTATGTCTCAATAAGTTTTAATAAAAAAAAATCATCCTTGTATTTGGATAATCTTCCTTCTCGTTTTTCGACTACCTGCAAAAAGGTTGTAATCTTTCTACCCAGATGTGATAGTGGTCTTTTCAATAGCCATTGAGTTTTTTTTTGTACAATTTTTCCTTATTAGACTGAACAACCCTCTAGGCTGAGCCTGTGTTCGCCCACCTATCCTGGCGAAAACGAAAAGGCCTTCAGCAATAAACCTTGCATCCTAAAAAAAGATTATCATAATTCAAGATCTCTTGACATTAGGCAGCAATTTTCAGCGATAGCTTCTGATGACGACGAAAGCGATGACATCACAAAATCTATTTACGAAATGTATTACAAAGTCAAGCCCAAAAAGAATGCGTTCAAGCCGTTTCTAAGGAACCCACATTTGAACCACCATACGAAGAATTCTAGAGGGAGTTACTCGAGAAAGAACGTTAATTTGAGACCAGCCAATCGTGATGCGTCTAAAAGAACAATTGGGCGTTTGATAGATAAAAGAAGAAATGTTAAAACGGATGATTACAGTAATGAATCGGATGAATCTTCAGGTATCAGTAAATTAATTTAATTCAAAAGCTTGCATATCTATACTAATATACCTATCTACAGTGGTTTTTACGGATGTTACGTTATAACTACTGAACCATGCAACCGATTGACTTGAAACTTGGTATCCATGTAGAAAATACATGTACTTAATGGATAGGCTAATATTTATATGAGTGTTGGACTCCTTACACCAGTTGCGAGGGCGTTAATGAGGAGAATCTTTGTGGGGGTGAGAAATAATAATGTTAATTTTAAATGCCCAGCGAAGCGGACGGATACAGCTAGTATGTACGTTACGTATTAACGTAACGTAACGTATTACGTAGTATGTTACGATTGTTTTCGAGTTTAGGAAACAAAAATAAAACTCAAATACACAGGTACACTCAAAAGTTAATTTACAGTTTAAATTTTTATTTATTGTCCTCGTATACAGACGAGCATACAGCCCACTTGATGGTGAATGGTTACCGTCACTCATGGACATCAGTAATGCCTGGGGCAGACACAAAGCAATGCCAACAGCGTTTTTCGGCCTTATTATTTTAGGATCCCACGTGTAGTTGAGATTTAACAAGCTATAAGACCTCATAAAACTCATAGCAAGCGTCGTCGATACGTCGACAAGTCCCAATCCCCCGTCCGAATACAAAAACTGTTTATTTTGGCACAGAATATACTAAGATTGATGAGCACAGGGTATATTCATCTCAAGAAGACTCATCAGAGGACATTCAGACAAATGAAGAATACTGGAGAACACAGAAGAACAGACGTAAGAGGTTCGTGTAATGTTTATGACTTGAATTTAAATTTAGAGAAGTATGTAAGTGATACTTATGTAATTGTTACAAAACGTACTAAAAACTTAAATTTTGTCGCGAAGCGTCTAGAAGTTATAGTCGCGTTAAGGGAAAACATTCCAAGCGTCAACTTAAAAATTGTTTTAACGCTGTACCATATTCTCCTGCTACCAACCGATATTAAATTGGTGGTCGGTATAATATAACTATGGAGAGTAGAGGTAAGGAGCACAATCTTGTATAGGGGATAAGATGAAAAAGAGTACACCTGTAAACAGCAAGTTATTCTTCTTTTTTTTCTCTCCTACCGATGCTGATAGCCTTGGGGCTATTTCAGTTTCGCCCTGAGGTGTAGGTGACGGGTTTCCGATCCGGTGGTAGATTCTGCGAAGCACAGCCCTTTCTAGGGCTTGTATTAGCAACGACGTCAGGTTTGAGGCCCGTGAGCTCACCTACTCGCCCAGTTACGCTGACATAGCTTCTCAAGGCTATCCGCTTAGGTAGGGAAAAAAATAAAAAAAGCGTGTAATGCATTAGGTATCGTTCTATGGTCGGTTTCTAGCTTATTTTGGCCCCAGTTGACGTCACACACAAAAAGCTTAATCCAGTGGAGTTCTGTCGAATCAAATCTGTGCTTTACCGTCTAACACTGACTGATTTATTAAGCTAAAACTATACACAATTTTCAGGACTTTACAACGCGAAGAATCGGAGAGTGAAGGAAAACAGGATTACCTAATAACTCTGCGTCCGACGCAGATAAGAACCTTCGTGGTTTGGTTTGACAACATTAAGAATTAACTAAATAATTCCTAAATTATTACAAGCACAAAGTTTTGTTTGTTAATAAATCTCTATCGATGTTCGGAAAAGTGTATTTATGTAATAAATGAATCAAACTCCACAAACGAATTCATTGTATAAAAGATTTGTTTTTATTTTTTTATTTTATTTGGCAGAGTTGTTGGAGTAAACTTGCACGAGTAGGTAGGTATCGAGCAACCTTTTTTGAACGCTGGGAAATCTGTTTACTGATCTTCGGTATGGAGTAATAGACGTTGGACTCCGGCGCCTCCAGAGAAGAGGGAGAGGAGAAAGACCGAGGTACTCCTCCTCCCTCAGTTCCTCTCAGGATACTACGCTTTGAGGAAGGCGCGCAAGGCAGACATCAGCTCCGATTTGAAATGTAGAGTGGAGTGATGATGAGAATGCAGACACTTCGTATCTCAAGGTGGTTGGAAACAAACACATTACGTCCAAGCTACCACTACCACTTTAACGAGTTAGGAATTTTATTTTTCTCCTACCTACGCCAAAAGTTCGGTTTTCCTCCCGCTGTACAGGGAAGAAAGTCTAACTTTTCCTCCCGCTGTACAGGGAAAAAACTGTAACTTTTCCTTCCTGGGTACTGACAAGTGCGCATGCGCGTTAGTGATAAAATTCTCCGCCATTCTTGTGCTCGGGTAGTTTGCAATATTGTATTTAGTGTAAAAGTGAAATAAACAAAAGGCAATAAAATTTAATAGTGAAGTATTAAACAAAGATGAGTTCATCCGACAGTTCTTATTCAATTAGTAGTAGATTATTTAAAAATTAAAATGCATTTTATGAGTACGGGGGCTCCGCCCCCCCTACCCCATGCCAGGGCTTCGCCCCTGGACCCCAACTCGGTACTCCACGAACTTTCGGCCTGGTAGGATGTACTAATTCAAACTCATATCCCCCTCCCCTCGTCGAGTCGATCAGTCATTGCTGAGCATTGTGATACGCCCATCTGTTTTTAATACGCTTTTATTAGCTTCAGACGTAATGTTAGTATGAACGGAATCTTTGAACATGATTTTGACTCCCTTAAAAAAGTCGGATTAACTCGAAATATGGTATACCTATTAAGGACCGATGACAATTCAATATTTAAAAAAAAGTGAAAGAAGACAAATTGAAAAATTTGAAATTCAACTAAAAAATGTAAAATAAAAAAACAAAATTACATGTGTGCAATTCACACGTGGTAGAAGTGAAACCTTCCAAAATTAAAATACAATTATCCTAAACGTCTTAAGTATATGTAAAATTTTGTCATTAGTAAATAATTGTAAGGTAGCGCCCTCTGTGAATTGATATTTTAATTTCACGTATAATCCTAAATTAAAATTCACTACAAGAGCTTTCATACACACGTTAGTATTAAAAAATCTCACAGATGGCGCTGTATTAAATAGTATGTATATTTATGTCTCATTCTTTGCTGGCTTCATCCTACACATTTTTGTATTTGTGTCTCTTACCTGTCGTTTTTTCCGTTGCATCCGGTTTGAAATCACAACGATTCTAAAGAAGTTTTCACTTCAATAATAGTTTAAAAAAAACTAACAAAATACGCTTTTATAGAAAATCCAACTAATCTCCAGGTCGTCAGAGGGTTTCTTTGCTATATGACCAAGATATTGGAGCTCTCTATATAGGCATATGGTGGATAGCCTCTAGTCAATTGACCATAAATTCTATAAGCTTGATATACTATCTTATGACGTCATCGGTGTAGCTGATCACTGAGGCATCGCTTGTGATAGCTAAGCCGTGTCATACAGCATCCAACTTATGCTTCGAGTCACACTTAACTTGTCTGATATAGCTTAAGGAGTTCAACAGTAAAACAAATGAAAAAAAACTCAAAAATGGTTTTATTAACATACACATTCAATCCACATTTCCCAAGCTGAAGAACCCGTACAATAAATATTTTAGCCTATTCTTAACAAAGAACAAAAAAAACACCCTATATTTTTTTACAAACGCAGTAATCCCCCTATAACACGATAGATTGGTTCCGCGTTATAGAAAACGCGTTGTAAGTTTTCTCGCATAACACGCGTGTAATATGATCCCACATAACGCGTTATATACAAATATACTATTTTTTATATTTCAATATAAAAAAATACTATTTATTTATTAATTAGGCACGCAATATACATTACAAGCTAAAAAGAAAAGATACACAATAAAAAAACAACAACTAATAAATTTGGCTTATAACATTTACAATTCAAAGACTAGGAACACAAATTCAATAAATTAATTTAATTTTATAACAAGACAATTGACACAAATGTGCAAAGGTACGCGAAATTAATTATGAACTGCCCAAATCATTATAGGTAAATTTCACAGTACAGAAATACATATCGCCTTTTCGCATTAAAAGTGTACAATTTCCAAAAATATTCGAAATCGAGTTAATATGCGGAATCATTTGATATCACCAGAATTTTACTCATAAATACTGTCAAAAGAGCGTAGTTTAGTTTTAGTTTTTTTTTTTTTGTTTACCTATGTTTTGACTACTATTAACAAAATTAAAAGACAGATATGTAACTGGTAAAAAATTAAAAATAAATGTTGCAAATATGATTAATATTAAAAACATCACATGTTAAACCTTTAAAATTATATAGTTTTAATGCGTGAAGATGATATGTTTAACGTATGAAATCTCCGCGTTATATGGAAGAATACCCGTGCTATACGAGGGACTGAAATCGCGTAATATGAAAATGCGTTATAAAAGTACCGTATTTTAATGAGGATTACTACTGTATCATTAAACCCATGTACGTTACGAGAATGCGACCAGAATAAATAGTAAATAAAGAAATAACCAATGACTTTCAACTATAGTACATTCCTACCTCATTTTCAAGCTTAGCTTAAAAATGCAAATCACAACTGACTCTTAACGCATTATGAGTTTTAAGAGATCTCTTTTTTGCGGCAATTTTGGATAAACTTTTAAAAAAAATCGTTACGTAGAAAAAAAACATTAAAATGTCGACTATCATTGTATTGAACAAAAACAAAACCTTCAAGATAAATATAACTAAATACAGGGTGTGCATTTTTTTTAATGAATCTCTATATATAAAAATGAATTGATGTTCGTTAATCTGGCTAAAACTCGAGAACGGCTGGACCGATTTGGCTAGTTAGCCAAAATTTGGTCTTGAATTATTTGTTTGTTAAAAGTCCAGAGAAGGTTTAAAAGGTAGATAAATATGAAAATGCTCGGAATTAAATAAAAATAACAATTTTGTTTTTCCTTTGATGTGTCCCCGTCGGAAGATTCCTTTTGTTTGTTTTAAGTTTATTTTATACAAAGTTTAGGTCTTTTATTTATCGATTGAGGCACTACGAAGTCTGCCGGGTCAGCTAGTCAAATATTTTTTTTTAATATAATCAAAGACTGTGCTCACATCGAAAACCTTACAACACCCTGTATATGGTTAGATTTAGCGAATCAAAAAAAAGACATTCAGCCATTAGAGGTTCATAGTATTTTCATCGCATTGTGCGCTTTGAACGGTATATTAGAAAATATAACGACGAAATCACATAGACCAGATTACAAGCTCCAAATTGATTCAACAGCAAAGCTACAGTATTTATCGTACATTTGAGTAGTTTTGTTTTAGTGACCTCAAAACAAAACTCAATTACCACATAGACGCAATTGCCCCAGGTGACTTTAAATAAAAATATTACTTTTGTAAGCCTTTGGACACGACGGTTGAGAGCAACTGGAATAAATATGATAATAGGATTCGACTCGCCATAAAGACTCGTCGCTGACAATGTCAATAACAAAAACTCATCGTGATCTGACAGACAATTCAAAATGGTCGCTATTCTATTTGTTCTCATAACAGCTGAGGGTTATTTGCGACTTGACTCCGGTTCTGGTCATCAGGGGACCGCATCGGAAACTCTACCACACGCTCAGAAGGAATGTTCTGTCGTTTATTTTTTTTGTTTTCCAAAAACACAATTTCAAGCTACTTTTGGAGCTTTAAGTTTGCCCTAAAGAACGCAGTCAAGAAGACATAGGTTTTATAGGAGAATAGACGGTAGTTAGATTTTAGTTAGACTTAGTATTGGAAACGTTGGAAATAAAATCGAGATGTGAAAAGTTATTTGATTTTAAGCGACATTATGCAGCTTCACAGGAGAGCTATTTAAAAGTTGAAAAATTTGGAAAAAAACTTCAAAAACAAACAAAAAAGAATTGTTCAGCTGTTTGAATGGAGTAAACTTAATTGAAGTCTTTGACGTGACAACGTCTTATGATTCGATGGAGCCGACTGCACGCACGAAAAAACATGACGGATTGAGGCGTTCCATTTAAGGCTTGAAGTGCAAGCGAGAGCGCGCAACGAGCGACAAAGACGCACAATCGGTTTTCGTCAAGTATGAAGTTCAGTGAAAAGTGAATGTGGTGTCAATTGTTTATAGCAACGATAATTGCGATAATTGAAAAATGAAACCATTCCATCAGTTTTTTCTTATGACGTTGTCACGTTCAACTATTGTCAGTAAACCGACTTTACAGACAACCGATTTTTTTTATTGCTTAGATGGGTGGACGTGCTACACACACACACATGCTACATGTGCTACACATACACAGCCCACGTGGTGTTGAGTGGTTACTAGGGCCCATGGACATCTACAATATAAATGCGCCACCCACCTTGAGATATAAGTTCTAAGGTCTCAGTATAGTTACAACGGTTAATTACAAAGATAAATGTCGCGTGTTAAGCGAAATGTCGCTTAAAATAGCCTTTCACTTCTCAATATCATAAAGGCAAGATTAAACTATAAAAATAGTTTTAATTGTGAAACAAAAAAGTATTGATTTATAATATACACTAGGTGTTCTATTTGTCATATAATTTTGTAGGCAGCGAACCGCGACATTGCTGGAGTCCGTGGGCTACAACAACCGCTCTAACAACAATGCCAATTATAACAATAACAATCTAGAAATTATTAATCTACAAATTAATTTTATTAAATAAATCATCCATTTATTTTCAAAGCTTTTTATATAAATTATATTAAAATTCGAATATTCATTCACATCAACACACAACGCGTCACACGACAATATGTGAGTGGTCGTTGTGTGTCTGTGATTTGTTCGAAGTGTTTTTGGCCCCAAGTGACGTCACGCGCGATCGGACCGCGCTCAGGCGTGCCCACCAGCCCGCAGTGAACGGAAAACAAAATTTATTTACTAAATCAAGCATAAATAGTTATAGCTCTCTTGTGAGCTTGTACTTCAATAGCCCGCAATGAAATACGTACGCGACTGACTTTAGCTTGCATTGCATTGCGTGCTAAATTTAATTTCCTAATACCCCCCGTCTCTGTTCGTGTCTTAATCTTCGAGAACACAGTTCCCATAAATGCTCTTATATACAATACATAAAATTTCATTATTTATATATTTATTGTTCTATATCCAAAGCGGATATTTTCCTGACGAACTCCGACCTCTGCGACGGCGTCAGTTCCTGTGAACAATTATTAGTGTTATTCATAGCGGGCACGTATCGGTATCTCTTTCGCACTTTAACAGACGTGACGTCATAGTACAGCCTCCATTCCATTGCGTTATAATAATAATTATAATTACATAGATTAGACAATAATAATTTAATATTAAAACAATAATAAAATAAGACCACGCTATATTTATAAACATTAACAAAAGCAAAACATTAACTATCCCCTTCACACTCATAAGCTAGACCGCGCGAGAGAGAGAAGGGCAGACTGTTCATGATGCGCATGCAGTGCGACGTCACGCCGCGCGCATATTCACAAACACTACACAAGCGCAACGTGTGAATGTGTTGAGCGAGCTACATGGTAGATGGAGGGGGAAGGGGCGGGTTAGGTTTCGTTACGGAGTTTCTTGATTCGGTCGCTGCGCTCAAGCCCGCGATAAAAGCTATGCAATAGCTTAAAAATAAATAAAAAAGGCAAAAGGGGATGGCTCAGCTAATGCTGTTCTAAATAGATGCATCGGACAGCACTGATTTTTAGTCAGCCCCGTATGCCTATGTCTCTTTTTACTACAATTTCCTCTTGAATAAAATATGAGATAATGAAACCCTCACCGCGACTAGAGCGTTGGCGGCCTGCAGTATGGCGTCCTGCCTGATGGCTCGGAGGTTCTTCTCCAGCACGGAGTCGACGTCGCCGGCCTGCTCCTCCAGCCACCGGCACACGGCCTCGTTGTCGTGCTCCCACTGGTGGGACTGGAAATAGGCAAACATTGACCATACAGGAACCTGAACGTGATGGAGTGCACCCGAAAATCTAGTTCCTCTTTCATTGGCAGTTAAAATGGTATCTCGAGGTGGATTACCAGTGGTAGGAACTCTGGTGAGTTCGCACGGGTAGGTACCACCACCGTCCTGCCTATTTCTGCCGTGAAGCAGTAATGCGTTTCGGTTTACGGAGACCTTACAACTTATATCTCAAGGTGGGTGGCGCATTTACGTCGTAGATGTCCATGGGCTCCAGTAACCACTTAACACCAGGTGGACTGTGAGCTTGCCCACCCATCTAAGCAATAAAAAAAAATTGCGTTGTTCACCTGTAACTCCCCCCGGTCCTCGGCGAACCACCTCCGCAGCGTGGGCGCGGCGAGCCCCTGGTGCTGCGGCGCGGGCGGCGCGTGCTGTCCGGCCGCCTGCACGCGCCGCTCCTGCTCGCCCTGCAGCAGCAGCCGCCGCAGCCGCCAGTACAGCAGCCGCCGGGACTCGCGCCACGGGATTATGTCCTGGACAAGTCATTACACGATTAACTACACACATAATATATATTCTTGGAAGAAAATGAAAATACAAAGTGGCAACACTGTGACCCTATTTAAGGAGCAGTGTTGGCTGTGCTCGCTCTCTTATCTCGCCAGCTGTCGTAGCGTGCAGAAGCTCTGTCCGAACTCTCTTGATATTACTGTCTAATAAGGCCAGCCGGCCAATAAATTGTTTTTAAAAACCCAAAATTCGTTTCTGTTTATTACAATATCATAACTACTTGCTTAGGTGGGTGGACGAGCTCACGGCCCACTTGATGTAAAGTGGTTGTCAGAACCCGTAGACATCTACAACATAAATGCCGCCACCCACCTTGAAATATAATACAGTTATTTTGTGCAAACATATTTCAAGAACCAAGATGGTCCCACAATCTATTTTTCCCCCTACCTATTCGGTAACAGCCTAAGAAGATAATCCAACTACGCGCAAATAGGTGAGCTCACGGGCTCAACCTGAGAGAGTTTGCTAGCTCTAGCCCTAGCAGCCCTAGATCCGACGAGAAACTCAGCAGGCTGATACGCATAATGAGGTACAAAACTTACCGAGATGCAGCCCTTCTCCAGCATCCTCTCGGCGGTGTCGTGCAGCTCCGCGAACTGTACAGCTATCTGCGGAACGACACATGTCATTATCAGTGTCCGGCCTTTCAGCAGGGTGGCTTCGTGCTTGCGCCCCAGATGCGGTTCCTTACCTCGTGGTAGATGGGACCGAGTTCTTTCTCGCGGGCCTTTACAGCCTTCTCGGCTGTCAGCAGTTCGGTCTCAAGCTCCCGGACTCGACCTTCGGCTGTGTGGAGAGGAAAAATACAAGAGTTAAATGCCATGCGAAGTGCCGGGTTGGAATCCTACTAGTACACATTGTTCTAATTAAATGTAAAAACTTTCAAATTAGCGTAACTACTAGTGCGTGTTTTGGGTTCACGAGATATTAATATCGATATATAAAAGTCGATGTGTGAACGTCTCCTATCGACTCAGAAGTGTTGAATGACCCCCTGCCCCGTACAAGTACTCAATATGTTTGGTGGCCCCCTACCCCACATAAGTACTCAATATGTTGGATGACCCCTCTACCCCGCAGAAGTACTCAATATGTTGGGTGCCCCCCCCCCCTACTTCACATAAGTACTCAATATGTTGGGTGGCTCCCTACCCCACATACGATACTCAATATGTTGTGTGGCCCCCCCTACCCCACATAAGTACTCAATATGTTCGGTGGTCCCCCTACCCAGCATAAGTACTCAATATGTTAGATGCCCCCCCAACGCACAAGTAATCAATATGTTAGGTGGCCCCCTTACCCTGTACAAGTACTCACCAGCTTTTCCAATGTCGGTTTTAACCAGGACGTCATCAATGGAGCCGCGCCTGTCGAAGTTCTTTGAGATTTCTTTGATTTGCTCCTTCAGTTCTGTAAAGCACCCAGACGAGGTCAGCGTGAGGAATTAGTAAGCTTATAAGTTACAGCTCTTTTTGTGCGTATTCTCGGTAAATATTAAGAATAAAGCGTTATCTTCGGATGATGTCCACAGACCGTCCGGATGAAGCAATATAAATAACGAACATAAGTTCAAAAATAATTTATTAATAAGGAATCCACGACATTTCTTCCGTCTTATATTATAGAAAAAAAATGTCAGTATAATCTTGTGACATTTCCTAACGAAGATTGACTCAGGATATTACAATCGCCTTAGGGTTTTATTATAAACTAGCGACCCGCTCTCGCTTCGCTTCGGAAACATTAAAACACACATGAAACAAAAAAAATAAAAATAAAAAATAAATAAAAAAAAGTAGCCTATGTTCATCAGGGACAATGTCGGCTTCTAATGGAAAAAGAATTTTTCAAATCGGTCCAGTAGTTTCGGAGCCTATTCGAAACAAACAAACAAACAAATCTTTCCTCTTTATAATATTAGTATAGATCCTATGCTATCCTTGAGTACGTCAGAGCTGTTTTTATTGCTATTATAGACTGAGGCAGGCGTCTCACTCGCTAATAAGAAATCACCATCGCCCACGGACATCAACAATGCCAAAGAGCGCCGTGAAACCGCTTCCTACCATAGAGAGCAGATTCTGGGCACTTCAGTCCTGTCAAACAGTTCACCGTATGCTCTCCCCGTACCTGATATCCTGGCCGTTTGCCTGAGGAGTTGGGGGTCTAGCCGGTGCATGGTTTTCAGTATGTCCCGCTGTTTGAATTTAACTTCGACTATGCCCTCCGCTTCTAAAACACCGCCTCTGTAATAAATAGATTCATAATGATTAATAGGTTCATACTGGTGGTAGGACCTCTTGTGAGTCCGCGCGGGTAGGTACCGCCGCCCTGCCTATTCTTTCTGCCGTGAAGCAGTACGCTGCGGAAACGGTTAAAGTTTCGCTAAAATAAAATAAATAATAAAATGACAGAATTGTTCCCCTTTAGATTTAAAAAAAAGTCCGCGACAGCATATGTCTATATGTTAAGGTTGGCTCTCTAAAACGTTTTTTATGCTAACCAAATTTGTTCTAAAATAAAGCATTATTTGTGAAGGTGTTTTTATAAAGATAATATTCTACGTAAATGAAGAGGCGGGTAAAATTTAGCGTTATGCCAAACTAACTATTCCACGTGAACGAAGTCGTGGGCAAAAGCTAGTAAATATATAAAGTTAACTGAATTATATGAGCGGAACGATTTGTATCGGTAGATGGCAGCACCTGGCTTCGGGGTCGGCGTACATCTCCATGCGCGCGCTGTTGACGCTGGGGTCCACCACCGCCCACGCGCCCCCCCGCAGCTCGGCCCCCGGGGGCACGTACACCAGCACCGGCCCCCCCGGCCCCCGCAGCGCCCGCACGATCTCCGCGCCGAACTTCAGGATCTGCTCGTACATGTCTGCGGGCAACGCACTCTCTTATGAACACACTTGTCGAAATAGGACACAACTATAATTACTAGTGGTTCCCCAATAGTCGATTATAATGATTCTATTGTCACAAGTTTCGCTAAAACTTGAGATTATAGATAAATAATATTAAAAGACAAACAATATTGATCTATTCTCAATTTGACCACAGACTTTAATAATTAACAAAAGAGTATAATTATGTCAAATACACGGTAGTATGTGTAGTTTTTTTTATAGATTTAATGTATTTATAATGCTTAATTTAAAAAAAAAATTGCATTCTGCACCCCTTGTCTATAATCTCCTAAAGTATTAGAATTTTACTTTAAAAATAGTTGTATTCGGCCTAACATTAACTTCTATGTCAATCTCCTACCGACCTTTCTGTCCGCCGCTGAAGCCACGCCAATTGGCGAATATGATGATGGGCAGATTCTCCCTGGAGAAGTCGTTAATCGCCTGCGCCGTCTTGTATGCGGAATCCGGGAACCAGACCTGGTGAGAAACAGTCGAATGTGAACCTTAATATCAAAGGAATCCAAAATATCAGTCTTTCCGTCAGGCATATATTCTGTGGTCCCCGCCCGCTACTAGCGCCATCTATATACGTGTCTCGGCAACGGAAGGGTTCTGCCTACCTGTCCGGCTTGCTGCAGGGTCTTGGATTCCGAGTCCAGGTTGGCAGGGTCAGCGGGTAACGTCAGCTCCACCGTTCTGGTTTCCACGGCGATCACTCCAACCGGGATGCCGCCCAGACGAGCTCGACCTGAAATATCGATATCGATAAATACTTTCGTCAAATCTAAGCTCATTGATAATTCTTAGTTCAACATCGAACAAATCAATTTAATTCAATATGCTTCATATTTAGATTAAACCGTAAAAGTAATTTTCATTTTGCTTTTTTTATATTTCATTTTTGTTTAATATTTAGCGTATAAAATTTAGTTTAATGTGGTATGGCCATTTGATGCGTAGAGAGGAAATGCATCTCACTAGGAAATGTAGGGAAGGTAGAGGGGGAAGAGGTCGACCGAAGAAGACATGGATGGGGTGTGTGAATGACGATATGAGAGAGAGAGGAGTGATGTTGAGATGACGACTAATAGAAGAGAATGAATGAGAAAAATTCGCTGTACCGACCCCACCTAGTGGGATAAGGTGGAGAAAAAGGAGATTTTTTGTTTTATATTGTTATTAAGGTGGACCGACCGGTGACGACAGTCTGCGCCCAGGGGCCCATGATCTCGTCGAAGCTGCCGTGGTCGAAGAACCCTGGCCTGGCGCCGTCCCCGTTGAGCATGAGGCGGGGGTCGTGCGGGCCCCGCGGCGGCACCCACAGCACGGGCCGCTCCACGGGGTCGGAGCAGCGCATTATCGGCACCATGCTCAGTTTGTCCTGGAAATGGCGAGCGCTTTTATAATTTTCTTTTTGCGCAGCTGGTATTTAATGAAACGCAATGGCCGAATCGTGGCACTCTTTCTCGCTCCCGTGAGCTTTTCGGAGACGAATACTGATAAAACAGCAAAGGAGTTTTACCGCATCGTCATCCCACCACCCTCGCTAAGAAGCGAAACTCTCTTCTTGTTCAGATATTTTGAAGTTCAGTTTTAGTAATCTTTTTATTTATTTATTGCGTCGATGGGTTTACGAGCTCACGGCGGCCCTTGATGTTAAGTGGCTACCGGAGCCCATAGACATCTACAAGGTGAATGCCGCCACCTACCTTAAGACATGAATTCCAAGTCTCTGTTTTTACAGTATATCGGCTGCACCGCCCTTCAGGTTACTGCTTCACGGCAGAAATAAGTAGGATGGTGGTACCTACCCGTGCCGACCCACAAGAGGTCCTACCACCAGTAATCATCTATACTAATATTATAAAGAGGAAAGATTTATTTGTTTGCTTGTATTGAATAACCTCCGAAACTACTGAACCGATTTGAAAAATTCTTTCACTGTTTGGAAGCTACACTATTCCCGAGTGACATAGGATATAATATTTTTTGAAAAAATTTGGGATCCTTACTAAAACTCCAATAATCTAACCCAAGGTGTAAAAAAATTACCTAAAATATTCTTTACATCGCGTGCCCTGCGAAAACCATTGATGATAGAATAAAATAATGTACTACGACTTTGTACAACACATAGTTATTTACAAAAAGTGTCGCGACAACATACTCGTTATAAAATATAGACATTGTTTGATCCATATACATATATATATATATATATATATATATATATATATATATATATATAACACAATATACATACACATTTATAACACAAATCCTCTCAAGTCAAGACTTTACAACAGCTCGTGTGACCAAGCCGACTCCGAACCCACCTTGGGCACGAAAGCCAGCCAGTTGACCGCAGTCCGGACGGCGTCCAGGTCGGAGGGCGCCACCGCGTGGGAGACTCCGTTGTGGTGCATGATCTGCACTCCTCCCAGCTGGTTGTTGCTGGCGTACACCGCCCGCCCGAGGACCTTGTTCAGCGCGGCGTGACCGGTCAGGATTATATATGAACTCTCCACTTGTATCACTCTATGACCCAATCTGCAAGCAAATCCATATAAGTTAAGTAAATGCTGCTAAAGACTGCTGTGACACTTGCTTCTTAGGTCAGAGTTGATAATTAGAATCATTCAAATGACCAATAAATTGGGCACGGATTGCATGTCGTTAAAACTATGTTGAATTCACGAAAATTTACTGCTGGTAGGACGTCTTATGAGTCCGCCCGGGTAGATACCGGCACCCTGTCTATTTCTGCCGTGAAGCAGTAATGCGTTTCGGTTTAAAGGGTGGGGCAGCCGTTGTAACTATACTGAGACCTTAGAACTCAAGTATCGAGGTGGGGGGCATCATTTACATTGTAGATGTCTATGGGCCCCGGTAACCAACTAACACCAAGTGTACTTAGTATACAAGTTTCAACTTCAACTGGTTTCCTTATTGCGTCACAAAACGGTTAAATAAAGCAAATAAAGTTTATCTTAACGACGGTCGCGAGAATCTATGTCTTGAGACTTGGGATCAAAGTAGCAATTGCTTTGCACTTCGTTTGCCTCGTCCTTCGAACCGAACCCATGAATTTTTCGCAGCAGAAACTGACAGGACGGTCCTGGTGGTCGAGGGTCCTCAGGGGGTACCAGTCCTGTGACCCCACCAGACGTTGAAAACAGTTGTGTGTGTAGTTGATTGTTCGACCTTCGCTGTAATGATTGCCCTAAGCACGTCATTACAGACCCTCTCGATCCATTAACGGTGCTTTTAGGTACCACAAGCACCGGTCAACGTCCGGGCTCGGCGAATAAACTAACCCAGAGACGCAGCCCACTGAGTTTCTGGCCGCATCTTCTCAGTGAGTCGCGTTTCCGCTCCGGTGGTAGATTCTGGGAAGCACTGCTCTTGCTAGGGCCAGTGCTAGCAACACTCCCGGTTTGAGCACCGAGAGCTCACCTACACGCTAGGGTAACGCTGATATAGCCTCATAAGTGGGGTGGTAGTGCCTACCCGTGCGGACTCACAAGAGGTCCTACCATCAGCAATTACGCAAATTATAATTTTGCGGGTTTGATTTTTATTACACGATGTTATTCCTTCACCGCGGAAGTAAATCGTGAAAATTTGTTAAGTACGTATTTAATTAGAAAAATTGGTACCCGCCTCCGGGATTCGAACACCGGTGCATCGCTACATACGAATGCACCGGACGTCTTATCCTTTAGGCCATGACGACTTCAAATATTATATGACAAGCCGTATGAGCCTCTAGGGAGCTATGTAGAGGTAGTACCTCACAACGTAGGACCCGATGCCGATGGCCCGGCACGTGACGATGGATATGGTGACGATGTCCTCGTAGGCCTGCGCGGTCTCGCCGGCGATGAGCCCCGCGTCCCGAAGACACTCCACTCCCAGCCCGTCCTCCTTGCCTGGACGAAACAAACACCAACTTTAGGGATGCCTTTACAAATATATTCCGTTTTAAATTTTTTATTTGGACAAAAATTTTTTTTCTCTAACTTTGAGACTATCGTGTTACTATTTTAATTTATTTGTGTTTTCGATTTTAACGTATTTGTTATTAAGCTATTACATAGCTTTTATCGCGAGCTTTGAACGCAAATATTTACGCTTTTTTTTCATCGTTTTGTTCAGTGTTTTCAATTTTATAGAGGACCCATAATGCACTTTACTCTTACTATTTTTCGGCGTATCCTCCATCATTGTAGCTGACGTCTGGTGAGGGCACGCTTTGACAATAAGGTTACAATGAGAGCGGAGACTCCGTACCGATAATATCCGTGATCTTATATCTGGCCTCCCCCTCGTCTTCGATGAGCTCCGCCTTGACGGCCCCGAGCGGCGCCAGCCGGGCGTAGGCCGGGGGGCTGAGGTACAGGTACCGGAAGCCGCGCTCCGGGCGCTCCGCCTCCAGCCACGCCGCGCTGAACTCCGCCTTCACCTCCTCGGCGACTCCGATGCGGGCCCCGGAGTTCACGCTCACGTAGATCTGATGACAAATAACCGCACCGGCTCGATACATTTAACTGTAAAACTTAGGGCTAACCCCGAAATACTGTTTGTACCAAGTCAACGTGATTTGATCTAGTGAAGTCACACTCCAGAAGTAACGGTATCATCACCTTCCACGCATAAAATCCATTATTATACTGTAAATAACAATATTGTCTACGCAAATTTTTAATCCGTCTTTTGGTTGATCCTAATCGTTAATTTGGTTCTTTTTATTTATTTATTTAAATAAAACACTTAACTATAATATAATTTAGATTATTAACATACAGAAGTTTAATAATCTTTAGCTTTTATAATAGTTTCATTTAAAAAAATCACACTTCGAAGAGTGAAAGACTATTTAATAATCTCTCTTTTATAACAGTTTCATTAAAAACAATCACATATTGAAGTGTGAGAGACTATTTATTTGGTTCAAACGACAAACGAAACCGATTAAAGTTTAAAAATTTTGAAAAGAATCAACAAAAGCTTCTTCAGCTATTTGAATGGAGTAAACTTAATTCAAGTTCAATTAAAAACACCGTAGTGTTAATGCTGATACCAAATAAAACGCCCCTTTAATTAGTAAAATAAATGTTGCATTAAGCGAATACCCTCGATATGATAGTCGAAATTCAACTCACCCTCGGTATCTTGAGTTCTCTCGCATACTGCGACGCCTTGTAGTACACCCAGTCCTCCTGGGGCCCGAACGACCCCATGTAGTGCGTGAGGTCGTTCGCGATGAGAATGATGTCCCGACCCTCGGGGCACTCGGGCGTGAACAGCGTGAGACGCCACGCCACCATCCCGACCTGCGCGACAAGGGGGAGCCGCTGATTCATCATCATCAGACTACGAGGAGTGCAACCGTCCACATCCGGTAGCCGGCTTTCATTGGCACCATATTATGCAAACGAATACGGCCAAACCAATGATGGGTGGTCCTTTCACGTAGTTACCGGAGCAAATAGACATCTACAACATAAATGCCGCCACCTACCTCGAGATATGACTTCTAAGGTCTCAGTATAGTTACAACGGCTGCCCCGCCCTTCAAATCGAAACGCATTACTGCTTCACGGCAGAAATAGGCAGGGTGGTGGTACCTACCCGTGCGGACTCACAAGACGTCCTACCACCATCTCCTGTTTATACAGACAGTGGTTGACCACCAAATCTCAGTCAGTAGCGGCATTCACGTCATTATGTCTATGGAGTCAACAGTAGGTCCCGAGTTAGTTCAGTCACAAGTCAATGACCTCTAAAGATGATGTCGACTATCATTGCTTGGTGACGCCATCACACCGGAGCCAGGTTTACAAAAGCACTAGCTGTACCCGTCCGCTTCGCTGGGCATTTAAAATTAACATTAATATTTTTCACCCCCACAAATATTCTCATCATTAACGCCCCCGCAACTGGTGTAGGGAGTCCAACACTCATGTAAATATTAGCCTATCCATTAAGTACATGTATTTTCTACATGGATGCCAAGTTTCAAGTCAATCGGATGCACGGTTCAGTAGTTATAACGGCACATCCGTAAAAACCACTGTAGATTTATATATTAGTATAGATAAGTCGATGCGCGCTCACGTTGTTCTGTCCGGGGAGGCGCGTGACCTCCACGACCCGTCGCTCGCCGTCGGGCTCCACCACCAGCTCCACGAATGACATCACGGTGTCCGGCAGCGGACCTGGACACGAAACCATAGATAATACACATAAATTAGTTATACGAAACGATTAAATAAATAATAAAAAAAATATAAAATTCCGAACTACTGTCAGATTTAGTTACGGCCGTTTGCGACACGACTTTTCAGCCTACTTTAAAATATTCTAGATAATCACTTATTATTTATGTTAATAATAGATTAACTAGTGTAGTTGTTTAATGTTTATTGTGAATAGAATTATTTCCTTACATTATAAGTTAGATTAGTTTTCCTTCCGATGTTGTTTTGTGCTATAGCTGTAAGGAACATTATGTACTTTGAACATTTATCTTATTTAGTCGTGCGCACATGGCTTATGTTACAAGCCTGATTTTGACTTAATATTCTTTATTGTTTATCTTTTTTTAGCTTGTAACGTGTATTCTGTGCCTAATAAATAAATAAATAAATAAATAAAATAAATAAATTCGAATGATCCAAATCTACACAACATTTCTTTTTTAAATTATTAACATAAGTGTACCGAGAATATAATGGACGTCTTAAATTGACTCGTGACAATTCCCCCGCTACCTCACTTATGGAGTTACGAAAATAATCAACAAAGCCATCATTGTTATCTGTTTACATGTAGAAAATACTATATTGGTAAAATAAAACAACTCAGACGACATGTCTTGTCGTATTGACCGGTTGTGAAGTATATTGGAAGCCGGTAGGGATGGGTACCACCACCATGCTGATTGCTGGCGTGAAGAAACCATATCTTCGGATTTGAAGAGATTTATAATTTTCTCGAGTTTCGTGGTGGTATGGCATTACCCGTGGGCGTAACGAGTACAATGTGCTTACTTAATGTGAGTTTTTGAAGTGAAACTTCTAATGCGACTTCCAACAAGGTTGCGTAGAACGCTCTTGGAGAGGGGGAATAGAAATATACAGAGCGAGAGTGAATGCGTGGCACTCGCACCCATACGTGCAGTATACCTGCTACAGCGCGAGCGTTAGCAACCAGTAGCGTCCAATATCATAATGAAGTATTCAAAATATATATATATATAATATATTTATTTTTCTAACTATAATTTAAAATATATATAATATAAATGTTGAAGATGTCGCATCTCTTAAACACAGCATTCCCTATTATAAGAGCAATCTGATTTAAGGATGAAAAGATGAAAAATGAAGAAAATCACACTACTACACATCGAAAAAGAAGTTTCACTTCATACACGTGTACGAAGTTGCACGCGCACCGTTTTTTTAACGTTCTCGATCGCGTAAAGTTAACTCAAATTTGTATGGAGTTGGAACAGCGCCCCTAGCGACAAACGAAAGGAAGCTGTTCCAACTCCATACACTAAGCACACTCAATTCCGGGTGAAGCATTAGAAACATAAGCTAACCATCTACGGTGCCATCTTCGATGCAGTCCCTCCACCTCTTCTCGACAACCTGACGGAACATATCCGGAATGTCGTAAACGTAGGTAGTTCCTTGCGATGTTGCCTGTTCAAAAAAAAAAACAATATATTGCCAATTAAATATCATAATTTTTTACGTGATAACGTCTTATAAATCAATGAACAACGCGCACCAAGCACACACGAAAAAGTGTCACGTTCCGCCTGAGCGTGCGAGCGAGAGCGCGAAACAAGCGATAGAGATATACTATATATCTCACCAAAAGGGATTGACTTTACAAACAAGCAATTTTTTTTAAATCTATATTTAGTTTTCGTTTTTAACACGATGAGAGTTCAATACATGAGATAACGGCTCTTAGAGTGGTAAGTTGTTACCGTTTGCGCCAAGACTCATTTTCAAAACTAAACCTATAAACAGTTCTGGTATACCAAACCGTTCTCAGGTTGACCGTTGATTAAGAAAGTTTTCGCTTTTTATTATTAAATACAGATATTTTTCTTAGAAAATCGAATAATTTAGAAATGAACAAGGAAAATACTTTTATGAACGACCTTTTTTTTGGACCATGGACATCTACAACATTAATGCCCCCCATCTACCTTGAGACATGAGTTCTAAGTTTCAGTTTTACAGTATAGCAGCTGCCCCACCCTTCAAACCGAAACGTATTACTGCTTCACACCAGAAATTATCTGTACTGTTACTTTTAAAACGTTTTTTATTGCCTTTGTAGGCAGACGAGCATACGGCCCACCTGATGGTGAGTGGTTACCGTCGCCCATGGACTTCAGCCAAGCTACTGCCCACATTTCGATACTCTTCACAAGCCTCGTTTGAAGAAGGATATGTCATAGCGCTCGGGAAACACCGTGGAGAGGAGCTCATTCCAAAGCCGGATGATAATTTGAACTGGAGGTTCAGTGTAACGTTCCAACCGTGCGTGGATCAGGGAAGCTCACCAGGAATCTCTTCTGCTGCAGGTAGTCCTTGGTGAGGTAGGGCGTGGAGATGGGCAGCCCGTGCATCGGTCCCTGGCGCGGCCCGAACGAGTGGAACATGATCTGCGGACAGAGAACTGTTGTGAGTACTTAGTACTGGCTCGGTGGTGCAGTGGTTAGCGACGCTGACTGTTGCGACGAGGGTCGCGGGTTCGATTCCCGCATCGGGCAGACATTCGTTTGATTTTTTTTTTATTGCTTAGTTAGAAGGTTTTGTAAGTTTAAAGTTTTTTTTTATTTATTGCTTAGGTGGGTGGACGAGCTCACAGCCCACCTGGTGTTAAGTGGTTACTGGAGCCCATGGACATCGACAACGTAAATGCGCCACCCACCAAGTCATTAATTTTCAATTATTTTTATTCACTATCAACTTTTTATTTTACTTTAGTCTCGGGTAACGATACTTTTAAGCTAAGACGTATTTCTTTTCATATTATGGTATGAAAAATTATACTAAACATCTAAGTAAAATAACCTCGACCTGTCGGACGCACTTTCTTTAGCTTTACTATTAATTAAAAACAATTTGTACATATTATACAAAATTAAACCTTGAGACATCAGTAATTAAGGTCCAATTTCGTCTAGAGGTCGAACAGAGCTAGTGTTAAATGCAATATTATTATTATGATGTATACTCACAACGCCGATCTTCGGGTCGGATATCTCCTCGTACGTGTACACGTCGAGTGAATACCCGGAGCCGTTGGACAGACAGAGACGGATGTTCTTGGTCGGCGCCCCCGGACCTGCGGTACAACGGTTCGAAGCTACTTCACAATGCGGCAACGGACGCTTAGAAGCGCATGAGGACGCGGCTGTAATGTCGCCGCATATACATAGCGGCCGTGTGACGTCATTTGTGAGTATAGATCACGCGCTAATATAAAACGATTAGCTTTATATATATATGTATAGGGATGGAGATAATTGCTTAGCTGGGTGGACGAGCTCATGGCCCACCTGGTGTTAAGCGGTTACCGGAGCCCATAGACATCTACAACGTAAATGCCGCCACCCACCTTGAAATATGAGTTCTATGATCTCAGTATAGTTACAGCGGCTGCCCCGCCCTTCAAAACGAAATGCATTAGTGCTTCACGGCAGAAATAGGCAGGGTGGTGGTACCTAGCCGTGTCAAACGTGGAAGTCAAACGTGAACATTTGAGAAGTATGTATTTCATTAGAAAAATTAGTACCCGCCTGTGGGATTCGAACACCGGTACATCGCTACATACGAATGCACCGGACGTCCTATCCTTTAGGCCACGACGTCTTCGAATACAATACAATTGAGAGTTCGCTCTCAAGGTGACAGGTGGATAAGATGACCCCGGAAGGGGCTCTGGTGGCAGCTGGTGCGTCGGTGGAGGAACTGACGACGCGGACTCACCGATTCTAAGCGTGAACCGTATCTCCGCCTGCAACACGCGCAGCTTCCACAGCCTGGGGCCGTACCTCATGACCATACCGAGCACCGACTCCTCGATCTGAAAGCACATTAAGATTTTATTACATTACGAGTGTACGTACACGTCACATGAGTAGTCACAGGCTAAACTTTATAAAAGTATACCTGTCTCTTTCTAATGTCACTTTATCGTTACGTCAACTGTCAAATCGTGACGAAGCTAAAATTCAACGTACGAAGTAATCAGAACTGAGGAAGTAGTTTTGAACGCGATTTATAAACAATGTTATTAACCGTAGGAGCATGTTGACATGTCAGCGTCTTCTCACGGCACTCACCTTCTTTGTGTTCATGTTCAGTCTGCTATTGTCACACAGGAATTACGGCTTAAATAGTGGGTCATGTTTTAAGGAGCCAGGGAAGATCTACCAATGACTTTGTTTCCTACCTAAGCTGATAGAATTGAGAGGCCATTTCAGCGTAACCTTAACTAGTAGGTGAGCTCACGGGGCTCCAATCTGACGACTTTGCTAACACTAACCCTAGCAAGAGCAGTGCTTCGCAGAATCTACCGCCGGATCGGAAACGCGACCCACTGAGATTATCCGGCGAGAAACTCAGTGGGCTGTCTGTGGGTTATAACAATGAGCGAGTGGAATTGCGTATATGTAGGCCCATTATGAAAATGGCGTTAGCGCGATTCAGGCGTCTGTCAAATGTCTTGTTCTCTATGGGGACTACCGCCACAGTACAGTTACCTTGGCCGGGTCCATGATGACGGTCGGACCGAAGTTCAGGAATATGTGGTTGCAGTCGGTCCGCTTCGCTAGCGGGTGAGAGAACGCCACCTCCAGTTCATCCATGGCTTCCAGCAGCACCCTGTAACAACCACTCTGCTAATTCCTAGTCCCGGACCTACCCAGTCCTAGTCCCTAGTAGGTCCTAGGCCCGGATGAGAAAAGAGGAGGGTTGGGTTGTGGTTCGATCTTTCCACCGCAACACAATCAATGCCGAATATCAGGTGGTGGCTAATTAGCCGGACTCAAATAAGGCTTCAGCGACCTGGAAGAACTAAATCTCTTCTAAAACTACACTGGTGGCAGGACCTCTTGTGAGTCCGCGCGGGTTGGTACCACCGCCCTGCCTATTTCTGCCGTGAAGCAGTAAGTTGCCGGTTTGAAGAGCGGGGCAGTCGTAACTATACTGAGACCTTAGAACTTATATCTCAAGGTGGGTGTCGGTATTTACGTTTTAGATATCTATGGGCTCCGGTAACCATTTAACACCAGGTGTGCTGTAAGCTCGTTCACCCAATTAAGCAAAAAAAAAAGTTGTAGTTCGATCTTTCCAACGCCGAATATCGGTTTTTTTTATTGCCTTTGCAGGCAGACGAGCATACGGCCCGCCTGATGGTGAGTGATTACCGTCACCCATGGACTTCAGCAATGCCAGGGGCAGAGCGAGGCCCCTGCCTACCGGTGGTGGTTAATTAGCCGGACCCAAATAAGGCTTCAGCAGCCTCAAAGAAATAAATATCTTCCAAAACTTTATTATTGTCACCTTTCGCCTTCATTCTGCAGATATTCAAAACTGGCCTCCTTCGTGATCAAATCCTGGTGTCTGATGATGGAGCGTATGAAGAACCTGTAGTCCGTCACCTCCTGACCTTTCTTCACCTGGAATTCGTTTATGTAAATCTTTAATTCGAATTACGTATTAACAATACATAAATATATCCACAAATGTTTAAAAAAATTTTTTTTTAAGATTAATCGTTTAGTTCATAACATAATTGTTCAATATATTTAATGGCATTTTATACTTCAGCTAAGTTCTAAATATTATGTGGTACATTACATAGGTATACACAAAATCGTGATTGGTTAAATATTTTAAGTCCCTCAACTAATTCCATCAAAATTTACTTTTATTAAGTTTGATTAAGTGTAGACTATTTTTTTATTTCTTAGTTGGGTGGACGAGCTCACGGCCCACGTGGTATTAAGTGGTTATCGGAGTCCATAGACATCTACAACGTAAATGCCGCCACCCACCTTGAGACATGAGTTGTAGTGTCTCACTTTTAACAGCACAACAGCTGTCCCGCCCTTCAAACCGAAACGCATTACTGCTTCACGGTAGAAATAGGCAGGGTGGTGGTACCTACCCGTGCGGACTCACAAAAGGTCCTATCACCAGTAAAAAGTGGTTTTTCGATATTCGATTTGAGCATCCATTGCGCGTTCGTACCTTCGCCTTCCCCAGGTACAAGTGCATCTTCTGGTTGCTGGTCGGCAGCGCTTCGAGCTCGTAGCTCCTCATCCTGTACAGCTCCAGCTGGAAGGCGGAGGCCGGCTCCAGGTGGCGGTAGATCGTGTCCTCGGTAAAGTCGTTGCGGGCGCGGTACGTGAAGAACTTGGGGAACTGACGTCTGGAGGGGGGAGACGCGTGTTCGGTGAAACAGAACTATGTCAGTATATATATTAATGTCAATTTATATATTAGTATAGATTTAAACCACCAAAGAAATTAAGAGACACAGACGATTTTCATTTTAAGAAAAAACTAAAAGATAATCTTATTAGTGAAAATTATTTTCACATAAATGATTTTCTAAGGGACGACATTGAAAATATATGGATTTTTTTATGATTACTTGAATTATGGATGGATAAATGGTAAACTATATAATATCATAATGTCTTGCACTGCACTAAAATTCGCATGTCTAATAATGACGAAGCATACACGCTGCTTTTAACTTCTGTAATAACTCATTTTCACTATGCTTAGCGAATAAATGATTTCTTTCTTTCTTCTAATAAGCGAAGTTGTAAGGCAAGGACAGTTTTTCTCAAGTCTCATACAAGGTGTTGCTTTTCGTTTGTCAACTAACTTGATGAGCAGCATAAAGGTGATTCTTCGGATCCGCTTGTGATGCAGCTCGTGTCGGTGGGCCCTGCAGAAGTTCCCGAAGCGACGTGAGACGGCACTGTCATCTGCCTCCCCATTGTCCCTCACCCCGATCATCAGGATATGGATCGGTTCCAGCGGCTGAACAACAAACACACTTTTATTATTATTATTTTTTATTGCTTAGATGGGTGGACGAGCTCACAGCCCACCTGGTGTTAAGTGGTTAGTGGAGCCCGTAGACATCTACAGCGTAATTACGCCACCCATCTTGAGATATAAGTTCTAAGGTCTCAAGAACAGTTACAACAACTGCCCCACGAAACGCATTACTGCTTCACGGCAGAGATAGGCAGGGTGGTGGTACCGCGCCGACTCATAGCAGGTCCTACCACCGGTAATTACGTCAATTATAATTTAGCGGGTTTGATTTTTGGAAACATTTGAGGGAACCATACTTTTCTAATGGCCTTTGTAGATAGACCAGCCTACGAACCACATGATGGTGAGTGGTTACAAGGTCAAAGCCAGGTCAAGGTATGCAAACCTTGAAGAACATGTCATAGCGTTCGGGAAACACCGTGGATGGGAGCTCATGCCAGAGCTGGACGGTACGTGGCAGAAAAGTACTCTGAAGACGCACTGTGGATGAACACAGCGACTTTATATAGTAGGCATGTACGTACTTATCCGAATCCTGATCTATATATTAACACGGGAAGCAAAAACTTTGTACCCCTTTTTAAGAAAATTGCACGGACGGAGCAGTATGAAATTTCTCACACTTACAGAGAATATAGAGAAGGAGTACCTACAGAATTTAATATTTTTTTTAATTTTGCCTAATAAGTACATTAAATCAATAAAGAAAACATTACACACACTAGCGTGTATTTGACACGCACATACACACGCATATATACTCTTTTGTTTATTGTCAACACTTTCTTGTTGTTTAAAGTCTGTGGTCAATTTGAGAATAAATTAATATTGTTTGTCTTTAATATTATTTGCCTATAGTGTAGTTTTGGCGAAATCTGTCATTATAGAAGTTTATTAGAGTTTGATAATTGAACCATAATAATGTTCAAGCTTATAATTTTAATTAATTAGTCACAATTTGGTAAACTACCAAAAAAAAAACTTTATTATTAAAACTTTAAAATTTTCGGATTTAAGACGTGTGTACAGGAAGTCTCATATATGTCTTCCTCGTCTGAGGGTAGTTCTAATTGACTCGTCTGACCCTTAACACGTCACAAACCCTATTGACTGTTCAATTGCCCAAAATGTTATTGGATCCAACACGTGCGGGTTCACAGCTGATCATGAACTCACCACCTCCTCGTCGATGATGTTCTGCTTGTAGTCTAAGCCGACGTTGATGCTCGTGCTGTCGCGGCTCTCGCTGCCCTCCTGCAGCGCCGCGAGATCCTGGAGACAAGCTTATTGACCCTCATCTTCGTTTGTGACATATTTAACCTTTTGATGTCCAGTAGCCACACGTATAGGGCCTATAAGTCTTACATTTACATTACATGTTTACTGGTGGTAGTGAGTCCGCACGGGTAGGTACCACCACTTCGCCTATTTCTGCCGTGAAGCAGTGATGCGTTTCGGTTTGAAGGGCGAGGTAGCCGTTGTAACTATTCTGAGACCTTAGAACTCATATCTCAAGGTGGGTAGCGGCATTTACGTTGTAGATGTCTATGAGCTCCGGTAAGTACATAACACCAGGTGGGCTGTGGGCTCTTCCACCCATCAAAGCAATAAAAAGAAACTGTTGATCTGAGGTGAGTCGGGTTCACAGGTTGTAGGCACTTCAGTGGCTTCGGGTTCGTGAATATACATATAAAGGGTACGTGCAAAGTACAGGGTACTTGCATAAGGCTATCGGAATCTTTACCCTTTGCGGTACCTACCCGTGCGGACTCACACCACGCCTACCACCAGCAATTACGCAAATCATAATTTTGAGGGTTTGATTTTTATTACACGACGTTATTCCTTCACCGTGGAAGTTAATCGAATCGTGGTACCGGCGGTGGTAATGCACCGGCCGTCTTATCCTTTAGGCCACGACAACTTCAAACTAAACTTCACCACAGGTCAAGAAATTGAAAGTAAAGTCCTTCTTCAAACGAGGTGGAAAGTACCTAACCCGGCCGGGGCTTGGCTCTGCCTCTGGCATTGCAAAGTCCATGGGCGACGGTAACCGCTCAACATCACGTGGGCCGTACGCTCGTCTGTCTGCTAGTTAAATAAAAAAGAATAAACAAAAAATTAGTAAAAGCTACCGACCTCCTTCCTGACCGAGGCCGAACTAGCAAAGTCGTGCACCAGGTCCAAGAGCTCATCAGCGTACTGCACGAACTGGTCGAACGAGAGGAAGGCCGCCAGCGCTCCGGTCCGGTGGTGACACTTGCGCATGGCGGCTGCGCTCAGCTCGGCCGGTATCCCGACCTTGTCCTCGCTCGCTGAGAGCTCAATCTCCGATTGGGACAGCGGTATCCTGATCAGGATTGATTAACACATTGTAGGAGCAGTATTAGTTGCCAGAACAACTTGGCGTCGCTCGGTGAAGCAGAAGCTAGATGTCTTGGGCATGACATGGGAGGAGCTAGAACAGACTGCCCAAGACCGATGTAAATGGAAGGATTTGATTCGAGCCCTACACGCCAGCAGAGGGTAATAGGAAAGAATGATGATGAATTATGAGTATTAGTAATGTTATACCCGATCCTTTGGACCGAATGGTAAACAGTCGATCTCGCCCTAAGCACGTCATTACGGATCCTCCCGACCCATTAACGGCGCTTTTAGGTACCTCAAGCACCGGTCACCGTCCTCGCGGAACCCATTGCTTGCGCCAAAGGTCTCAACAAGCTAATAACCCATAAACACAGCCCACTGTTTCTCGCCGGATGTTCTCAGTGGGTCGCATTTCCGATCCGGTGATAGATTCTGCGAAGCACTGCTCTTGCTAGGGCCAGTGTTAGCAGCACACCCGGTTTGAGCCCCGTGAGCTCACCTATACGTCAAGGAGAAGCTGAAATAGCCTCTCAAGGCTAAGCTAAGCATAAGTATCGGAAAAAAGGTAGTGCTGTTTCACTAACTGTATTGGCTAGGCACTGACACGAAGGATGAGTAACACAGTGAGTATGAATATGTACTGCCCGCAGTTTCCAAGATTATCAAATTATCTCCGAACGTGTTTTGAACTTTGAATGGCTAGCCTGAAATAGAGACCGCAGACCCGCCTTACCGGTTAGGATGTCCTGTGGGCAGGATGAACTGGAAATGTACCACTCCCAGCTCGCCAGACAACGCCAGATGTTGGAGACAGGCGATGTCGTAGGATGTGTAGGCGCGACGCACGTACACCTCCAGAGCTGCGTTGCAAACCTGATGATGAAGGGCATTCGCTTTTACCACCTATTTTAACACTAAACAAACCATAACGGTTTAAATTACACATTTTGAACTTCATGACTTTTTCTTACCAATTAATCTACAGTTATTGTACTTTTTTTTGGCTTGGTTTGTTTATTTTGAGTAATACTTGTCATATACCCTCAATGGTAGAAATAGGTACCAGTGAGTCTTGGTATGATTAGTGTTAATCGCAATCAAGCAACTAGAAGTACATAGAATAGACCAATTTTCAAGCACCATTATTGGCGTCACCGGAAACCATAAGCAACGTGGACGCGTTCATCTGAAGCACAAGATGCAAATCGAAGGTATAATCCAACTGTCCATGTGGGCATGGGCATGTACCCTTAAAACTAAAATGTATTAATGCGCCGTGACAAAAATTCACAATTGATACATAGGTCCAAATGCGGGTTAAAAATATGCTTTCCTCCTTCTCTTCGCTTCTGAAAGACGTGACTATCATGTTTAGACATGATTTTATTTTTTGTTATGCCTTTCCAGCGTTTCCGATCATTGGTCGCTTTAAGAACATCGTGGAATGGAAATCTATGACCTAACACCAAGTAAATTATTCGGATTACTTTTTTATTATTTAACTGGTGGTAGGACTTCTAGTGAGTCCGCGTGGGTAGGTACCACCGCCCTGCCTATTTCTGCCATGAAGCAGTAATGCGTTTCGGTTTGAAGGGTGAGGCAGACGTTGTAACTAAACTGAGATCTTGGAACCCATATCTCAAGATGGGTGGCGGCATTTACGTTGTAGATGTCTATGGGCTCCGGTAACCACTTAACACCAGATTCCCTCATCTATGCAATAAAAAAATATAAAAAAAACATGTTATAATTATTCTTTCATCGTAAAAGTCATCCTTGGACATGAGTAAAATACGCGTTTTATTAGAGACATCGATAAATGCTTAAAGGATTTGGACCCGACATAGCAAATGTCGTTTAATAGAAATACATCGGCTGACTTGGGACAGACCTGCCCGTCTACTCGTAGCTGGAATAGCCCCATAGGCTGTCAGCGATAAGGTAGGAAAAAAGCTTGGGATAGGAATATTTAAAATAATTCCCAACACAAGACTCTCTACATCTAGGTTGACTGGTAGACGTCTCTGACATTAAGTACACCAAAGTACTTTTTAGCATCTAATCATTAATACGTGAAGCAGAAACTGTGGACCCCTTTTTACGGAAATTGCGCGGACGGAGGAGTATGAAATTTCCCACACTTATAGAGAACTAGGTAACACGACAAACGTTATTTTGCCATATAAATTATTTCTAGGAAAGATAAATAATCTTGATACCGACTGCAGCGCCATCTACCGGGCTGATTTGTGAATTTAAACCATCCAGGGCGCTACCCAAACACATACAAATAAAATCGTTGAATTCGGTCCAGCCGTTTAGGAGGAGTTCAGTGACCAAACAAACACACGCACAGAAGAAATACATATAAAGATACAGAGAAGGAGTGCAGAATGTTATATTTTTTTTAATTATGCATAAAAAATACATTAAACCAATAAAGAAAATATTACACACACTACCATGTATTTGACACTATACATATACACACACATATACTCTGTGTTTATTGTCAAACTTTTGTTGTTATTGAAAGTCTGTGGTCAAATTGAGAATAGACTAATATTGTTTGTCTATATTATTATTTGTCTATAGTTTTGGCGAAATCTGTGATTATAGAAGTATAATAATAGTCTTTGACAATAGAACCATAATAATGTCCAAACTTATAATTTCAATTATCGACTACAGAGGGACCACTAGTTAAGTTAATTATGACAACGGAATTAAACATCTAAAACATCAGCTATTGAATCTAAGCTATTAAACCACAGATGCGTTCTCCCAAATTAATTAATAAAAACATTATCAAAGCGCTCAAGCTTAGAAAGTAATTGCTCTAATTAGGACCTGAAACATTACAGACATTATTACCCTTTGGGTTTTGTTTCAAAGGTTTCATGCCTGGAGGCGTCTTTATTAATTCCTCGAAACCATATACAGGGTGTGGTCCGGAGCAGTTTGAAACAATCTACTACCCATTTCATTAGCGCGATACTATTCCAGAACACTCCAATACTTTAAACTGCAGCTCCAATGAGGAACAAGCCCGGAATGTGTTCAATGTAATATAAATGTATTAAATACTATCTGACCCAGCAGACTTCGTAGTCCGCCCGCTGAGTTTCTCGCCGGATCTTCTCAGCGGGTCGCGATTCCGATCCGTTAGTAGATTCATTCGCGAAGCACTGCTCTTGCTAGGGCTAATGTTAGCAACTTCGTCTGGTTAGAGCCCCGTGAGCTCACCTACTAATTCTGCGAATCTAGTATAACCCTTCGAGGTTACTAGAATAGGTAGGAAAAAAATCTGATATGTTTGAGGATTGTGCCAAAATGAAAAATGTCCAGTCTTTTACTATTTTTTTGTTAAGAAAAAAAATCATTATGCGTTTACAGTTTAAAACTAAAAATCGCAGGAAAACTGATCACTTTATATCGTGTGTTTCTCTAAAACCTTTCAAAATTGAACTGTAAAGATTTTTTTATTGCATATATGTAAGGACAAGCTCACAGCCCACCTGGTGTTAAGTGGTTACTGGAGCCCATAGACATCTACAACGTAAATGCCGCCACCCACCTTGAGACATGAGTTCTAAGGTCTCAGTATAGTTACGCTCACAAGAGGTCCTACCGCCAATTAGACAATTAGACAAAAACAAATCACTTAAACATACTATCTTTTGAGATAGAAACCAGTCAGATCTGACTTCGACTTATACCTCCCAGTTATGTGCGTATTTTGGCTCAGAGTTACAAGAGAGACACAGTGAGTTTGAAGTCGTCGCGGTCTAAAGAATAAGACGTCCAGTACATTCCTATCTAGCGATGCAACGGTGTTCGTCGTTCCCGCAGGCGGGTGCCAATTTTTCTAATGAAATACGTACTTAACAAATGTTAACGATTGAGTTCCACGGCAAAGAAATAACACCATGTAATAAAAATTCAAGCCCGCAAATTTACGCGCATTTACGTTGTAGATATCTATGGGCTCCAGTAACCACTTAGCACCAGGTGGGCTGCGAGCTCGTCCACCCATCTAAGCAATAAAAACTAAAATAAAATCTTCCACATTTGCAAGCCTGTCCTCCGATATTGACAACCCACTCTAGTCGCAGGCTTTGAAGGTTCGCAGCGACAAACCACACCCTGTACATAAGTCTACGATTAGACTGTTGGACTATAAAACCAGCCAGTTTCCATGTAAGTTTCTCAGAATATCTTAATAGGCGACTTGCTCTTAAAAATTGACAAAATTTACAAGTCTCTGTTAAACTAGTGACGTCATTTGTGGCTAGATCATTCAAAATCAAGAAACGAACGAGATACCGCGTTCGCTTTTAGCCATACTAGATTCCTTTAGGTCGTCGATAACAACAAGCGAACCCACCCACAGATACAACCCACTGAGTTTCTCGCCGAATCTTCTCAGGAGGTCGCATCCGGTGGTAGATTCCACGAAGCACTGCTATCGCTAGAGCCAGTGTTAGCAAATTCTCTCAGGTCGAGCCCGTGAGCTCACCTACCGGTCCGGGCTTAGCTGGAATACCCTTTTAGACTACTAGCAAATAGATTGTGAAAAAATATATCATCATCATCAGCCCACAATTTTTAGGAACTATGTCGAACTACGTCTTTAAGCCGTTTCACGAGACATACAGGATAATTACGTTCACAATGATAGCGGCGATGATTTACCCGAATCCGGCCACTGAGAAAAGAAGACTTATATACATTGGTAAGCGCAGTTTTCAAAATAAACCTCAGTCGATGCTTCTATTTAACGAATTCCTATCTTCACTGAATAATCTCGATTCGATGAATGTGAGAAGAGTGTTAAAGAAATTGTTAAAATAAATAATAACAAAAAAAAATCACGCAGGGTCAAATTAAGTTTCCTTGTTTTATGGGCACCAGAGACTGACGTACTTATCGAGGCGTAAAAGGCGTTTAAGCGACATTTCGCTCAATACTCGACATTTATTTTTGTAATTAAAGGTGCCTTTTATTTGGTATAATCATCAACAGTCCGATTTTTCTAATTGGACTTCAACTAAGTTTACCCTCATTCAAATAGCTTGAAGAATTATTTTTTGTTATGATATCTTTTCCAAATTTTAAACATTAAATGGCTCTGCTGTAAAGTCGAAAAAATGTCACATAAACCAAGCACCCTTTCATCGATATGTATTTATATAAATAGACAATAACAACCCAGACAAAGAGCAAGCAAACCTGTTCATCACACGAATGTTTGTCCAGGACCCCGCAACCGTCAGGGGCGGTAATTATTGCACCACCGAATCGATCAAGTTTTTGAATAAACCCTTTCGATTCGTTATTTAAAGGGACTTTTTGGCGGGAACGCGAGGAGTGCAGTTGTGTGATTTGTTTTATTTTGTCTATTTAGTGTTTCTTCAGGTTTAAATGGGTAATAACGGTGGTTTATTAATTGTTTAATATCTGTGAAAGTGCACTAATGTGGGAAAATGAAACAAAGCCGCTGGACGTAACTTCTCGGGATCCTCCAAAAAGCCAACTGAAAAAATCTCAGTAAATGACCACCATTTTACTAAGATTATATTTCATCCCATATCATCTCATCTCATTTCATTTTGTTTAATTTCACTCAATATTATCATTTTTCATAATAATAAGAATATAAATAAAAATAAGACATGACTTAAAGGTCTTAGTTACCAGGTCATAAAATCCGTTGAAAAAAAAGTTATTTAAAGGACATTGTTTACGTCCGCAGGGCTGATGCTTCTGAGCGTGATCCCGCTAGCGTTTATGATCGTCACGGAAATGTACGAGTTCTTCATGGCGAGCGACCTCAACAACACAATACGACACAGCACGGTCATAGGACCGTTCATAGGAGGATTCGTTAAGGTACATTCATAGCCCAATGAGTTTCTTGCCGGATCTTCTCAGTGGGCCGCGTTTCCGATCCGGTGGTAGATTCTGCGAAGCACTGCTGTTGCTAGGGCCAGGGTTAGCAGTTTGAGCCCCGAGAGCTCACTTACACGCTAGGTTGAAATAGCCTATCAAAGCTCTCAGCATAGGTAGAAAAAAAAATACATTCATTATTGGACCATTCAAAAGCAACGCTAAGTCCCTGTCTAAGACCGGACAATGGTCTTACTCTCCGGAAACTTCGTTTAAACAAAGCAGTGGTAACAATAGAAGGAAGTTCATTACGAAGCCGGACGGTAAAAACGATTATTGGAAACGCACTGTGGATGAAGGCAGCGTTACTTTGTAGTATGGAAGAACTCTGCCCCCACGGTGGGCGATGAGTTGGTAAAAACTAGATGAAGAGTTTATCACAAATAATTGGCTATTGATAACATAGTACATTTTTCTTCCCTGCCTATTCGCTGGTTTGTGTATATAGATACATATATTGTATTTGTACATAACGCGTTATATAGAATCAAATGTGAGAATACTGCTACAACGCGTTCCCTATAACGCGGAACCAATCTACCGTGTTATAGGGGGATTACCGTATTTGTATTGCCTGCATGACATTTTGTTCCTTGGGCTTTTTTTGGAAATTGGTACAGAAAAGCGGCAGATTAAAGGTCAATGGATTTCGCTTCGTTGGACTTGAGTAGTGACCCCGGGTACTGTTTCACTCGCTACGAGTTCAATTCCCGGTCACATTCATTACATTTACATAACTATGTTAAGTAGTTGGAATAAGGTTCATTTATTTGGGACGCCTCCCTGGGACCTGGAAGCGGAGGCGCTCGCTGCGGATTACGCGTGGCGATGCGATCTCCGCTCCAGGGGGGAGCCGCGTCCTGGCGCGGCGAAAGTTCGAGCGCGGAAGCTTCAATCTCGGCGTGCCGTGCTCGAGGTGTGGTCTCGCCGCCTGGCGGACCCCGCCTACGGGCGACGGACCGTCGAGGCGATCCGCCCGGTCCTCTCGGACTGGGTGAATCGCGACCGAGGACGTCTCACCTTCCGGGCGACGCAGGTGCTCACGGGACACGGCTGTTTCGGTCGCTACCTGCACCTCGTCGCCCGGAGGGAGCCGACGCCGAAGTGCCACCACTGCAGTGGCTGCAACGAGGACACGGCGGAGCACACGCTCGCGTACTGCACCGCTTTCGCGGAGCAGCGCCGCGTCCTCGTTGCAAAAATAGGACCGGACTTGTCGCTTCCGACCGTCGTGGCTACGATGCTCGGCAGCGACGAGTCCTGGCAGGCGATGCTCGACTTCTGCGAGTCCACCATCTCGCAGAAGGAGGCGGCGGAACGGGAGAGGGAGAGCTCTTCTTCCCTCTCGGCGCCGTGCCGCCGCCGTCGAGCCGGGGGTCGGAGGAGGGCGTTTGTCCAGCTCCAGCCCCTATGAGGAGGCAGTCTCCTCCCGGTGATGGTCACGGGGCGACCTAAGGGGGTTGAGGCTGCGCCGCACGCTACCGTCACTCTAGCGCGCTGGCACCAGGAGGACGGGACGGCGCGTCGGCGGCTGCGGACTGCGATGCGGTCCGCATTTTCGTCGTCGCTGTCGTCGCCGAACATACTGTTGAAGAGCAACCCGGTCGGCGGTGTATCGCGTTCCGACCCGGCAGGCTGGTTCTGGCCCAGCGGGGTATCCCGGAACACCAGCGGCACCGCCCGGGCGGCCTGGTAGGGCCGTCGTACCGCGGAGACCGACGTCGTTGGTCGTCGACTATCGCCTCGACGACCCGTCGGTCGGGCGTCCTCGGGGTGGCGCCGCGTGTCTGGTTGTAGTGTTGACCGCGGGAACCCCCTACTCTGAACGGGTTCTGACCCCGGACGGAGATCGGACGTCGGGTGTAAGAGTGCAGGGGAGTCGTTTAGTGGGTGGGCCCTAAAATCCTTGGGCCCGCGATCTGCTCTCAACACCTGCAGATCGTTGAGTCTCACATACCCCGCGCGCCCCCTAGGCGCGGGGACCTCGTAGGAGGTTCGGCCCGCGGCCCGAGAAAAAAAAAAAAAAAAAAAAGGTCCATTTATTCATGTTAAGTTTAACACGGAACGTATATTTTTTGAAGTGATAACTTCTTGTGGGAGCTTAAGCCGCTTCGTTACGTAACGCGTTACGGTGTCTGGCTTCTCTTTCTCTCTCACGCATACGGCAAGCGGTACTGAGAATGTATGTGACTCCAAACTATTAATATATGTTTTTCAATTTATGTTACAAATTTTCCTTACATTATCATATCAATTTACATAAAATTTCAGTGATAACCTAAGCTTTTCTCAATTTAAACAATTTCAATATTAAATAATTCAACTTAGATTATTATTATTATTATTATTTTTTTATTGCTTAGATAGGTGGACGAGCTCGCAGCCCACCTGGTGTTAAGTGGTTACTGGAGCCCATAGACATCCACAACGTAAATGCGCCACCCACCTTGAGATATTAGTTCTAAGGTCTCAGTATAGTTACGACGGCTACCCCACCCTTCAAGCCGAAACGCATTACTGCTTCACGGCAGAAATAGGCAGGGCGGTGGTACCCACCCGCGCGGACTCACAAGAGGTCCTACCACCTATCACTTCTATCGGGTGTCCCGAGAGGTATTTATTTGTTATTTTTGAAATAATAAATCTAGACCTTTACATACAATTAATGGACCAATTATATTAACTGACGGAGCTTTGGTAGGGGCGAGTAAAAGCCCGCAGCCTTATGCCCCACTTAACTATGTATAACGAAAAGGGTTACGATAATTGAGAGCCTTTCATAAGTGCTCTCGATAAAACGCAACTAAAATATGTTTTTTTTTAGGTGGCACTAATGTACTACAAACGAAGACAGGCCAATGAACTAGTCTCCGAAATAAACCGCGACCATCTTGCTTACAACGTTCTGAAAGGAGAGGACAGAGAAATCGCGGCGTCCAGCATCAGAAACTGTCAGATATACTGCGAGTTGGGCTGGACGCTAATAGTTATGAGTTGCGGCCTGTCCTTCCCGGTCATTGCGATTCTATTGAACATTCACAGTTTCACTTTTAAATTAGACTCCACGAAGCATATGATACATGATATAAACAATCCCTTCACCGACGACCCGGAAGACAGGTCAGTTGACATGTCAATTTCCCGTGACCTTTTTTATTGCTTACTTTTAAACCCGGAAAAATTGTGATTTTCGTTAATACTGTTATAATGGTACAAGTAATGCCACCTGTCGACAGATGGCAAAAAGAGATATCGAAAAAAACAGAATTGTCTCCCGAATATTCCAGTTTCATCGAGAGAACCACCACCCTGCCTATTTCAGCCGTGAAGCAGTAATGCGTTTCAGTTTGAGGGGCGGGGTAGCCGTTGTATCTATACTGACACCTTAGAACTTATATCTCGAGGTGGGTGGCGGCATTTACGTTGTAGATGTCTATAGGCTCTGGTAACCACTTAACACCAGGTGGGCCGTAAGCTCGTCCACCCATTTAAGAAAAATAAATAAAAAAACTTCAGAGGTGTCAAGGGACACCCGGATGGAACGAAGTTCCTTTCGATTAATTAGTGAAGAATTTGTAATTATTTTTTTTAAGTTTTAATAATAAATTACGGCATTATGAAGAAGAAAAAAACAATACTATGAACTAAATTACTATTGTTGAAACGCTATCTCGAGAAACTGTACTCATTACGCGGACCAATCGGATACGAGCAATGTCACGCGATAAGCGCCTACAAGTTGATTGGTCAGAATAACGGATCTAAAAAGTGTCGTGACAACTTTTCGTAAGAATTTTTTCCGTCTAGCCCCCTTTCACAACGCGCGATAAGGAACTTCGTTCCAAAAAACTTGACACCAGATGGACGCATGAAACGGTTTAGAGGTCCAAAACAAACACACTTGTCCGCAGATTTGAGTCACCATTCTTCGAGATAATGTTCGTTTATACGTTTTTCTCCTCGTTCATATACATCATCAATTACGTGGGATACGATGGCTTCTTTGGACTATGCATAAACCACGCCTGTTTGAAGATGAAGCTGTATTGCAGAGCGCTCGAAGACGCCATGAGGAGTGACAGCAGGAGACACGAGAAGATCGTTGCGGTCATTCAAGAGCAGAGGAGGACTTATGAGTGAGTTACTGGTGGTAGGACCTCCGGTGAGTCCGCACGGGTAGGTACCACCACCCTGCTTATTTCTGCCGTGAAGCAATAATGCGTTGGGCAGCCGTTGTAACTATACTTAAAACCTTAGAACTTATATCTCAAGGTGGATGGCGCATTTACGTTGTAGATGTCTATGGGCTCCAGTAACCGCCTAACACCAGGTGGACTGTGAGCTCGTCAACCCACCTAACCAATAAAAAAAGTCTCTTTTAAGGCGACCAGTTGTTATGCGGTTGTCCGTAGACATCAGAGCGAGAACGATATTTGACCTTGAGACCAAAGCTCAATACCTCCCAATAGCTTGAGACAAGAGATGAAATGATCACTCAACATCTCATTAGCATCATCCTCCCTGTGTCGCGTTCATCCTGTCTGAGGGTCGTGACCATCTCCTCCCATTATCCTTTTCTGTATGATTTTCGCCATCTTCCTCTGTTCTCGGCGGTGTGTATCGCATCGTAGACTGTGGTATCCAGATTTGTACGGATTTGGTCGCACCAGCGCATTGGATTGCGACCACGAAATCTTTTGCCTGCAATCTTGCTAGTTACCATAGATTTTTCAAGATTGTCACCGCTCTTCCTGATAATGTGACCGAAGAATGTGCATAAAGACTCATCAAATCAAAGCATCAGAAACTGTTGAGATGGTCCTATCCATGATAAGGCAGAGCTAAGCACCCTGTGTATTCAAATCCACACAACGTTCGGCTTATCCTTTTTTTTCTACTTATGCTCATAGCCTTGAGACTATATCAGCGTTACCCTAGCATATAGGTGAGCTCTCGAAGCTCAAACCAGAAATGTTGCTTACACTGGCTCTAACAAGAATGGTGCTTCGCAGAATCTATCACTGAATGGGAAACGCGACCCACTGAGAAGATCCGGCGAGAAACTCAGTGGGCTGTGGGGTTAGTTTACTCGCCAAGCCCTTCGTCGCAAGCGACGGGTTCGACATATCCTTAAAAGATTTCATTGTTTTAGGTACATCGCATTAATACAGGACACGTTCAACATATGGCTCGGTCTCATATATGTGGCTACGATGATACAAATGTGCACTTGCATGTATCATATTGTCCAGGTAATATTTTGGAAGCATTTTTTTTATTACCATCGATGGATAGGCAACTTAAGACTAACGGTGGAACGTCGTCAATAAATGGGACCCGGCCAAGTCAAAGCCAAGGATTCCTTACGAATTGAACTGGCCTTCTCTTAAAGGCGGCGACGAAATGTCATACAATTAAAAATCTTTCCAGAGCTTCAACATAGACGTGAGATACATTATATTCGTGATCTCCATAATCCACATCTACCTGCCTTGTCGTTACGCAGCCAATCTCAAATGCATGGTAATTATATTTATTTATTTATTTATTATTTTACTTATTTCTTTTACTGGTGATAGGAGCTCTTGTAAGTCCGCACAGGTAGGTACCACCACTCTGCCTATTACTGCAGTGAAGCAGAAATGCATTTCGGTTTGAAGGGTAGGGCAGCCGTTGTAGCTATACTTGAGACCTCAGAACTCATATCTCAAGGTGGGTGGTGGCGTTTTGTAGATGTCTATGGGATCTTACAATGTTATCTTTGTTTTTATTTTATTTTATTATATTATCAATGGTAATGAAGATCCTATTCATCTAGGCAGCCGAAACCCCTACCCTGATCTACTGTTGCGGATGGGAGTCCGTATCGGACTTGAGGATCAAGAGAATGATGCCATTCATGGTAGCACGCAGCCAAGTCATCGTCGAGATAACGGCTTTTAATATGTTCGCTTTTGACATGGAGCTTTTCGTATGGGTATGTGTTTTCATTGTATCCAGCTTGTCGAGAACATTCTCGAATCTTTGAGAACTTAAATTAACCCATACTGAACGATACGACTATGCCCACTAAGCCTGCAAGCAAGTACTAATTTTAACCAAGTAAATACGTGGCTAACATATGCTACTCCACAATCAAAGATTAATTAAAACATATAATCAAAATCAGAGGAAGTGTGAAAGTAGCCCAGGTAATTAACAAATTAAAGAGCGGACGGTTAGCGTGGTATGGAATGTGACTTTTTTTTCCTACCTATTCTGATAGCCTTGAGTGGCTATTATTTCAGCTTCTCCTTAACATGTAGGTGAATTCACTTAGCTCAAACCGGGAGTGTTGCTAACACTGGCCCTAACAAGAGCAGTGCTTCGCAGAATCTACCACTCGATCGGAAACGCGATCTACTGAGAAGATTCCGGAAGAGAAACTATGTCTATGACCGGAGTTTTCCTTTAAAATCTGCAGACCCTGTATATATAACTAATCACTTTTGTCTCATTTCAGATAATGAAAACTTCATACAGCATGTTCACGTTGATGAGATCTTAGTGAAGATTTATTTTCAGAAGCACATTTCAACATTTTTTATTATTTATTTATTATTATTATTATCAGTAGACTTATTAGAGGAACGTAAGGTTCTGTCATGACGACAGGTGAAGGGTGCTGATGTAAGGAAGAGAGAGGGTAAAATGGAGTGGAGATATGAGAATAGAATGAAATGTTCTGAGAGCACCCGCATTACGATGTTCACGCTGATGTCTCTGCTGACATCTGTGCATTATTCTTGTTGCTCGAATGTAGTTTGTTTAATAAAAAATAATGAAGAATATTATCGCGTTTTAATATCACGCTGTATACGGAATCCGGTAGTGAGCCAGCAATGGAACGCAAATATTTTATACCCTTGTTGACCTTCCGCGCCTGAGTTCATTTGTACCGGAGTGCCGGCGGTGAGTATAATCGTTTTATTCGCCTTATAATCTAAGCCTCTTGGCTGATTTCAACTGAAGCGTCATTAGATTCGTCTTAATTATGATAATAAAACTGCATATATACATACAATACGTAGTCCTCTAAAGAGTAACATTAATTATACAATATTAAAAATGTAAGTTGCCAAAAATATAATCTAATTAGGACCTTCATCCTAGAAGGAATTTCGTTTCTTTTTTTTCCAAGACCGGAGACATTAAAAATCGATTTTATTTTATTTTATTTTATAACAGAATATAAATAAAATTGGAGTGTCTGTTTGTAATATCGAAATAACCGCTTTTTACTACACGCATATTATATGAATATGTATACGGTACATACAATAAAATAACATTTTTTACAATTTTTGTATGTCTGCTTGTTCTGGCTATTCTCTAAAACGGCTGGACCGATTTTGACGGGACTTTCATTGATAGGTATCTGATGATATAAGGAGTAACTTAGGCTACTTTTTTTAGACTACCTTCTGCGTCACCTGCTGTACGAAAATAACCGCGGGTAACATCGCGTGACTCAGCTAGTACAATACATTTATATACCATCGTCTCTTAAGCTTAGTAAAATTGTTTGGAGAGCCCGCAATGTAGTATGCACAACAAATATGTGGTAGCGCGGGGTCAACGACCTACAAACTCGTACCGTCAGAAAATAAAGAAACGGCCACTCACCGCTGCGTTCATGTGGTAGAAGAAGTCGTGCAGTATATCGAATATCGAGGTCTCGGACAGGATCAGCTTCTGCAGGTTCTCCGGGTGGAAGTCGTGCCCGTACATGTCCACCGCCGACAGGAATATCGACTCCATCTGGTTGTGGCGGAGCTCGTAGGCGGGCTGGTGCGCCGCGATCAGCACCTGCACCACGAGCTGGTTGTACAGAACCGGGGGTGTCTCGGGTCGGGGGTGGTTGGGGGGGGGCATTACCTGTCTCTTTTTCTACTACCTAAGCCTTATGGTCTTGAGAAAATCAGCGTCGCCGGGCGAGTAGGTGAGCTCGCGGGGCTCAAACCTGACGATGTTGCTAACACGAATCTACCACCGGATCGGAAACGCGATCCACTGAGAAGATCCGGCGAGAAACTCAGTGGGCTGTGTCTGTGGGTTATTTCGTCGAACGATGACCGGTGCTTGAGGTACCTAAAAGCACCGTTAGTGGATCGGGAGGATCCAATATGACGTGTTTAGGGCGACGTCGACTGTTTATCATTCGGTCCGCAGGATCGGGTATGTAGTTACCGGCGGCCACGATGAGAGGGTTTTCGTGTCGTGCAGCTTTATCAAAATGGTACCTGTCTCGCTCGTAGGGCCACGCGGCTGTGCTCGGCTCGGTGGAGGGAAGTCAGTTCGTTCAGCGTGGCCGCCAGCTCGTCCGTCAACCCTGGCTCGTTGGACCACAGGTGGTCTATCAGCAGCGTCACCTGTAACAACACCGCTAGTTCTAGCACGAGCTACAGAACCAAGTTCACGCTTCGATCAGATACCGACCAGCAAATTCTTCTTGGCGACCTGGTTGTGGGAGAAGATCATGTTGGCGACGGCCTGCATGTCGTCCTTGTGGCGCTCGCGGAGGGCCACCACGCACTTGTCGTACGAGCCTGCAACAGAAGCACGTCTTATCCGTCACACTTTTACTGGTGGTAGAACCTCTTGTGAGTCCGCGCGGGTAGGTACCACCGCCCTGCCTATTTCTGCCGTGAATCAGTAATGCGTTTCAGTTTGAAGGGCGAGGCAGCCGTTGTACTGTAAAAACTGAGACCTTAGAACTCATATCTCATGTTGGTTGGCGGCATTTACTTTGTAGATGTCTATGGGCTCCGGTATCCACTTAACAATAAGTGGGCCGTAAGCTCGTCCACCCATCTATGCAATAAAATAAAAATACACAGTCGGCTGTTGTCTGGTCTTCAACGGTTACCGATGATATGATGAACGCATAATTTGACCAGTTTCATGAACGTTACTGCGACAATCGTTTGTAAAGACTTTTTTAGCACGTGTAGTGGACAACCAACATAGTTGCATGGGGTATTTGACAAGTGCCTGAATTGCGCTAACGACATTACCAAGATAAGCTTACATATTATTATATTCGAACGACATTCTAGAACGGTCATCGTACTCGTCGAATTAACCCACAGACACAGCCCACTGAGTTTCTCGCTGGATCTTCTCAGTGGGTCGCGTTTCCGATCCGGTGGTAGATTCTGCGAAGCACTGCTCTTGCTAGGGCCAGTGTTAGCACCTCGTCAGATTTGAGCCCCGTGAGCTCACCTACTCACCTGATCCTTTCCTACCTAATCTGCTGGTCTTGAGAGACCAGCAGATTAGGTAGGAAAAAAAATCTAGACTCGTGTGAGCACACAGCCACGCCCGCCAAAGTGCGCACAGACGCTCACACTCACCCAGCTGGAAGTTACTCTCGACCTGGAAGTACTGCTTGAGCAGATCGTGCACGGCCGCCTTCATTCTGCCTCTGATACCATTCCTGCATTAGACAAACCATCATTAAACACACATTAACTTCTACTTTTTTATTTCTCTTATATCATTAAAATAACAACATTTTAAAATTGCAAAATTCATCTTGAAGAGGTGTTTTATTTATAATTTTTTTTTATTGCTTAGTTGGGTGGACGAGCTCACAGCCCACCTGGTGTTAAATGGTTACTGGAGCGCATAGACATCTACAACGTAAATGCGCCACCCACCTTGAGATATAAGTTCTAAGGTCTCAGTATAGTTACAACGGCTGCCCCGTCCTTCAAGCCGAAACGCATTACTGCTTCACGGCAGAAATAGGCGGGGTGGTGGTACCTACCAGCGCGGACTCATAACACGTCCTACCACCAGTAAGTCGCAATTTAACGTTGGCTGATCAATGTAAGTCGGATCGGCGCGCACCTGTACCGCTGCACCAGCAGCACCAGCGCCTGCGTGCTCATGAAGAACACGTCACGGTCCGACCTCTTCTGCAGCGACGCCGCGTGGCTGTAGACAGAGAATCACGTTAATTTCTTAGTAATGGCTAGTTATCAATAGGTACGTAGGATCTTCGAATTTTTCGGTCACATTCGGTAAAGTGGAAGGAAAGAGACCTAAGGGGCATAGTCCTGGTCCGATCGGATTGAGACGACATTGGACTCCAGCATCAATGTCGCTATCCACTGCGCGGAGGACAAGAAGAAATGGAGGGACATAATCCTAACGAAACTGCTCCGTAAGCGTCACGACCCTCAGCACTGAGGAACATGAAGCAAGGAGGTGTTATCGATATTGAATGCGTGAGAATTAATCTTCATCATTTTTTAAAAGGGATAAGGGATGTTTGTGTTGGAATTGTAGTTGTCTACGTGGTTTTTTTTTTTATTGCCTGAGCAAGCAGACGAGCATACGGCCCACTTGATGGTGACTGGTTACCGTCGCTCATGGACATCAGCAATGCCAGGAGCAGAGCCAAGCCGCTGCCCACATTTCAATACTCTCCAAAAGCCTCGTTTGAAGAAGGACATGTCATAACGCTCAGGAAACGCCGTGGAGGGGAGCTCATTCTAAAGCCGGATGATATGTGGCAGAAAAGATCTCTGGAAACGCGCTGTGGATAACCGCAGCGCCTCTAGGTAGTATGGATGAATTCTACTCCGGTGGCGGGCGGTGCGATGGTAAAAACGAGATGATGGTAACATCTCGAATAATTCCTCAGAGTACTCCCCGTGAAACATACTATACAAAATACAGAGAGAAGTGAAGTCCCTCCGCAGACCCAAGAGGTTCCAAATGATCCGTGAGGATGGGATTATCGACAATCCAAATAGCTCTCTTTTGTATGGAATCAAAGGGAAGTAATTGATATTTGGGAGCCCAGAGGTGGGAGCTGTACTTCACGCGAGGCCGGACTTGTGCTTTATAAAGCAAAAATCTTTGACCAGACATGAAGTAGACATGGAGTCGCTTCCCATCTTCAGACATGAGGTCGAAGCCTCAATGTGTCACGTTTGTTAAACGCTTCAAACCAAAGCCCCCTAACCCCCAAGCCCCCGTCCCGACCCCAGATAAACCAAGGATGTCAGCGGGTCCGGCGTGTACCACCAGCCCGCGACCGGCAACTAACTGGTCGATGACGCTGGCTATCTGCTGGCTGGGGAACTGCGCCAGCACGCTGGTGATGTTCCGCTCGTACAGCGCCATCAGCTTACGGACCTTCTTCTCCACCGCTATGGGAATCCGGCCCGAGGTTGACGACAGCACCTGGGTCAAGGAAGTGGAGTATTGAGACGTGGTCTCTAGTCGTGCAGCTACTGGGGCTCGTAGACGCTCACCACTGACCACCACAGTAAAGAATATAAAAAAAATCTCAAATTTTTGGCAAGATTTCCTCGGATATTCAAGAATTCATATGACATCATTTATGGCCAGAACGTACGCCGGACTACCCACAAATCATATAATGACACAAGATTGACCACATATAAAATATAAAATCACGTTTGTGATTCGTCTAAACAAAACTTTCGGATAAAAAAACTTTTAGATTTTTTATTTTCGATTATAGTTTTACTAGCTGTACCCGTCCGCTTCGCTGGGCATTTAAAATTAACATTAATATTTCTCACCCCCACAAATATTCTCATCATTAACGCCCCCGCAACTGGTGTAGGGAGTCCAACACTCATACAAATATTAGCCTATCCATTGAGTACATCTATTTTCTACATGGATACCAAGTTTCAAGTCAATCGGATGCATGGTTCAGTAGTTATAACGGAACATCCGTAAAAACCACTGTAGATTTATATATTAGTATTATAGTTTTAAAATCATTAAGATGCTTCCCGAATAGTTATTTGACTATTTAGTTGTCCTTTTCAAACTTATACGGGGGGAAGGGTCCCCGTCCCCTCTGAAGGCGCTGGTTACCTCCTGGAGCTCCAGCAGGGGCAGCGAGGGGTCCCGCAGGCTCTGCATGAACTTCTCCACGACCTCGCGGAGTCGCGGCGTGTTGTACGGCTCGGGCAGCCAGTACCCTAGAATCAAATTAAAACTACTAATCGTTTTGAAGAAACTATCACAAATAATCATATGGCTCGTCGTGGAACATTAACAGTGCCAACAGCTTTGTGAGATTTAACGAAAACCAATATAAGACGAACAAAGCCACTATCGTTTAGTTTCAAGTAGTTATCAGAGTCCATGGACATCATCACCTAGGAACGTAAGGTAGATTTCAATTTTAGTATATAACAGTCGCCCCACTCTTCAAACTGGAACGTTACTGGTTCGGGGCAGAAATAGACAGGGTACAGGTAACAGCATACCTTCTTTTTTTCGAGCATGGGGTTCGAACTTCCTACGAGGTCCCCACGCCTAGGGGGGCACGCGTGGTACGTGGGACTTTACAGTCTGCAGATATTAAGAGCAGACCACGGGCTCAAAGATGTTTTAAGGCCCTAAGGAGGGAGTGGGGGGTAGACTCGCGGCGCCACCCGTAATTACGCAAATGATTATTTCGGGTTTGATTTTTATTACGTGATATACGTGAAGTCGTCGTGGCCTAAAGGTTAAGACGTCCGGTGCATTCGTATGTAGCGTTGCACCGGTGTTCGAATCCCGCAGGCGGGTACCAATTTTTCTAATGAGATACGTACTCAACAAATGTTCACGACTGACTTCCACGGTGAAGGAATAACGTCGTGTAATAAAAATCAAACCCGCAAAATTATAATTTTCGTAATTACTGGTGGTAGGACGTGTTTGAGTCCGCGCGGGTGGGTACCACCACCCTGCCTATTTCTGCCGTGAAGCAGTAATGCGTTTCGGTTTGAAGGGTGGGGCAGCCGTTGTAACTATACTGAGATCTTAGAACTTATATTTCGACATGGGTGGCAGCATTTACGTTGTTGATGTCTATGGACTCCAGTGACCATTTAACACCAGATGGGCTGTGAGCTCGTCCACCCACTGCGGGACTCAAACCCCGGCACCATGCTATCCACATCCGCGAGAACTCACCGGCCAACGTGTTCTCCAGTATCGCTCTGTACTTGTTGTGGGCGTGATTCAGCTTCTCCGAGACGGTAGCGTTGTCGTCCAACGAGAACTGGCCCTTGTACGGCTGGGCCGTCGTCACCAGCGACGGGTCGTCCAATTCTGGTGAAATAAACATTTATCTAAACTAGCGGTCCCTCGGTGGTCGAAATTCGACTATAGTTAATTGAAATTTTAAGTTTGAACATTATTATAGTTCTATTATCACATTTCTATAATCACGGATTTCGTTAAGACTACACTACAAATAATATTAAAGACATGCAATATTAATCTATTCTCAATTTGACCAGACTTTAAACAATAACAAAAGTTTGACAACAGACAATAAACAAAGAGTATATGTATGTGTTGTGTCAAATACACGCTAGTGTGTGTAGTGTTTTTCTTTATTGATTTAATGTATTTATTACGCATAATTAAAAAAAATTAAAAATAATATTCTGCACTCCTTCTCTATATTCTCTATAAGTGTGGGTAATTTCAGACTCCTCCGTTATTTTCGCAAAAAGGGATACAAAGTTTTTGCTTCACGTATTAATATATAGATTAACCAAACCGTTTATAACATTAGTATTTCGACCCAGTGGAGTAGTTAGCGCTCCTGACTGCTGCGACGAGGGTCGCGGGTTCGATTCCCGCATCGGGCAAATATTATGTGATGAGCAAATATGTTTGTATTGTGTTTGAGTGTTTATTATCTATATATGTATATATTTGAACGTATATAAGTATGATTATCTATTTTGCTATTTTGGGACCGGTGTGCTTAGTGCGAGCTTTTTAACGTTCTCGATAGCGTAAAAGTTAGCTCATATTTGTATGGAATGGGATCGTTTGCGTGCGTTTGCCGCTAGGGGCGCTGTTCAAACTGCATACAAAATTGGATTAACTTTTACGCTATCGAGAACGTTAAGAAACTCGCACTAAGCACACTGATGACCATGTGTTAGTTATTCCCAGTTATATTTACAAGTATGTTTGTTACTGTTATTTGAGTCGTCTATTATCAAAGGCGGCAATATGTACATTTGGACAAAAAAATTTATTGATATGTCAATACAGATTTATTTGAATATAATCGTCTCCTTCAAAGAATACGGTTCAAAACCTGCATTAAATAAAGGTTAATAGTTAACCTGTTATTTATCTAAGATGTCGTTCCGAAGAGTTTTGTGACTGCCAATGGAATACAAAGTCAATAATTCGTTTTTCTGATTTACCAATCATTGTCCAAAAGTCNTGCCGTTGAACAACAACATTTATTTGCCGGATTTTATTTTTGTTCACCATTCACTCTGCTATTCGCGTATTGTTATTCCTAGCGCAAGTATACGTGGAAAAACGACTATGGATTTACTCGAGATTAAAATCATGGAATAGGTTATTCCTCGTATAGTTACTCGAGTATAAATTTAAGTTTGGTCGAATCCACCCTTAATGTATTTATTACGCATAATTAAAAAAAATTAAAAATAATATTCTGCACTCCTTCTCTATATTCTCTATAAGTGTGGGTAATTTCAGACTCCTCCGTAATTTTCGCAAAAAGGGATACAAAGTTTTTGCTTCACGTATTAATATATACATTAACCAAACCGTTTATAACATTAGTATTTCGACCCAGTGGAGTAGTTAGCGCTCCTGACTGTTGCGTCGAGGGTCGCGGGTTCGATTCCCGCATCCAAATATTATGTGATGAGCATGTTTGTTTTGTGTTTGAGTGTTTATTATCTACATATGTATATAATTGAACGTATATAAGTATGATTATCTATATTGCTATTTTTGGACCGGTGTGCTTGGTCCGAGCTTTTTAACGTTCTCGATAGCGTAAAAGTTAACTCATATTTGTATGGAATGGGATCGTTTGCGTGCGTTTGCCGCTAGGGGCGCTGTTTCAACTGCATACAAAATTGGATTAACTTTTACGCTATCGAGAACGTTAAGAAACTCGCACTAAGCACACGGATGACCATGTGTTAGTTATTCCCAGTTATATTTACAAGTATGTTTGTTACTGTTGTTTATTGTATGTATACTGATGAACGAGGTCAGGACCCGCCTAGTGTTAAATGGTTACTACAGTCCGTGTACACCCATATTGAGACTTTGAGGCGGATGTCTCATGATCCCCGGTCGACTGATTCTTTGGCGTGGCCGCGCCCCCCGGCTGCCCCCCACCTACCCAGAGTCCCGATCATGGAGCCCATGTCCAGGACCGCTCCGGGCCGCAGATTCCACGTGACCTTGCCAGATTCCGGGGCGGACAGCGTCATCACCATTTTCATCACCTAATTCGGACAAAAGACGAACGATTACATACAGTTTTTTTTTGTTCATAGCTTAGATGAGTGAACGAGCTCACGGCATGTTAAGTGGTCATCGGAGCCCATAGACTTTTACAACGTAAATTCCACCACTCACATTGAAATAATAGCCTTCAAACCGAAACGCATTACTGTTTTACGGCAGAAATAGGCAGGGTGGTGGTACCCACCCGCGCGTACTCACAAGAGGTCCTACCACTCTCTATAAGCTTTATTATACAATATAGAACCTGCTCGTTTCTACCATGTAGCGTACGTCCGTGCCATTTAAGTGAGCAGTTTTGGACAGGTAGCGCGAACTTAACAATTCTCAGTAAAAACTGAGACTTTAGAACTATTATTTCAAGGTGGGTGGCGACATTTACGTTGTAGATGTCTATGGGCTCCGATAACCACTTAACACCAGATGGGCTGTGAGCTCGTCCAGACATCTAAGCAATAAAAACACACGTACCTCGATCTCAGCGTAGGGCTGTCCCTTGTCGACGTGCCCTCCGTCTTCCACCAGCGTGTTGATCAGCTTCCCCGCTGAAGGGGCCCTCAGACTCGAAGGGTCCTTCTCCTTTTCGAAGACCACCGTCTGGTTTCCTATGACTATCCTGTACTTGTCCACTTCGTCTTTCAAGTAAGTCGTGAAGGAGGCGCCGTCCACCGACAAGAGAGTACCTTGATATGAGAGAAATTTATTTAACAAAACATACAAAATTATACATATCACGCGTGGTAGAAATGAAACCTTCAGAAATATTTCTCTAACAAACTAAGTCGATAGAGGAAAGGTTATTTGGTTTAAACGATTTTTTTGCAAATTTACAGTGGAGCAATTGAAAGTTTAAAATTTTAAAAAATATCGTAACAAAAAAAAAACTTCTTCAGCTATTTGAATGGACTGAACTTAATTGAAGTTCAATTCAAAACATCGAACTGTTGACGCTGATAGCAAATAAAACGAACCTTTAATTACAAAATTACATTTACACAAACATAGCCCCCTACCCTGAGCGCTCTCTCGTAAGAGTATAGTCACCCGCTCAGCAGACTATAATTACCCTCCGCAGAGATTTTTTTTTATCGCCCTTGTACGCAGACGAGCGTACGGCCCGTCTGATGGTGAGTGGTTATCGTCGCTCATGGACGTCAGCAGTGCCAGAGGTAGAGCCAAGCCGCTGCCTACCTTTTGAGTACTCTCCACAAGCTTCGTTTGAAGAAGGACAAGCATACGTGGCAAACAAGATTTCTGGAAACACACTGTGGATGAACGCAGTGGCTCCAGGAATATGCCCCCCTCCAAAGAACATAGTCGTGTTGATGTCCCCCCTGCCCCCCTCCTGTCCCCCCTGCCCCCTCCTGTCCCCCTGCCCCCCTGCCCCCTCCTGTCCCCCTGCCCCACTGCCCCCTNAAGACAAGGACAAGCGTACGTGACAAAAAAGATCTCTGGAAACGCACTGTGGATGAACGCAGTGGCTCTAGGAATATGTCCCCCTCCAAAGAACACAGTCGTGTTGATGTCCCCCTCTTGCCCCCCTCCTGTCCCCCCGTCTACTCACCGCCGTCGGTCAGCTTGTGCACCTCCAGCTCCTTGAAGCTGCCGTTCATGGCCAGGAAGTAGGACGTGAGGCCGGACTTGGTCGCCGACACCTTGTACTTGTGTCCGCTGTGGATGAGCTCCACCTCCACCGTGTTCGACAGCTGGCTCGACCCTTGGATCTGACCTCTGATCGGAGAACATACCTGGCTGTGAGTGCTTGGGGCGGCGTGAGGGTGAAACTTATGACTTAACGAAAGAATTTTGAAGCCGATAATCAACAAATCTAGGATTTGCTGTACCGGGCCAGGAATTACGTAGGGGGGGGGGACCACACCCACCGGCCTAGGGTCAGCGCAGGAACCACTTCATTACCGAGTCGCATCAGAGAGCTTTAAAAGCAGACTTACCAGCCCGGTTATACCTGGTTATCCCCCCCTCTCCCCCCCAGGTTAACGGCTGTTAGGTAGACGAGTTCGTGCATACTTCGAGCAGTAGGAGAGCATCAGCAGACGCGTCTCTGATGTAGAGAGATCAGAGACACCACAGACCGAAACTCAGAACTCTGTTATATTATAACACAGCATCAGTCTGATTATATCCACTGCACATCAGTCTCACATCCCCAGCCACTCAAAAGTGTACGAATTGTGTACGAACTCTAAAGCGGGTCGTTGTATTGACTCAATGATGTCTACGGACCTCTATAACCACTGCACAACAAACTTCAAGCAATAACTGAACGAGTTTTAATTATTTTTTTGTTGCTTAGATAGGTGGACGGGCTCACAGCCCACCTGGTGTTAAGTGGTTACTGGAACCCATAGACATCTATGACGCAATGCGTCACCCACCTTGAGATACAAGTTCTAAGCGGCTGCTTCGCCCTTCAAACCGAATCGCATTACTGCTTCACGGCAGAAATAGGCAGGGCGGTGGTACCTACCCGCGCGGACTCACAAGAGGTCCTACCACCAGTAATTTGTACTTCCGTGAGAGATTTATAAATGAGAGCTCCTCACTTCTCGAGCGCGCTCTTGAACTCCTGGAAGTTGGCCGTGATGATGCTGTCGGCGATCAGAATCGAGCCGCATATGACGCCCAGCATGATGTCCGGCTTCTCCGATTGCATCTGCGAAGTAAAATCGAGTCATTTACTTAATTATATTTGATATATGAGTCGTCTATTATCAAAGGTGGCAATCTGTGCATTTGGACAAAACATTTTTATTAATATGTCAATACAGATTTATTTGAATATAATCGTCTCCTTCAAAGAATACGGTTCAAAACCTGCATTAAATAAAGGTTAATAGTTAACCTGTTATTTATCTAAGATGTCGTTCCGAAGAGTTTTGTGACTGCCAATGGAATACAAAGTCAATAATTCGTTTTTCTGATTTACCAATCATTGTCCAAAAGTCAGATTGCCGNATCGTCTCCTTCAAAGAATACGGTTCAAAACCTGCATTAAATAAAGGTTAATAGTTAACCTGTTATTTATCTAAGATGTCGTTCCGAAGAGTTTTGTGACTGCCAATGGAATACAAAGTCAATAATTCGTTTTTCTGATTTACCAATCATTGTCCAAAAGTCAGATTGCCGCCTTTGATAATAGTCGACTCATATATTGTATACTAAGCTGATAGCCTTGAGAGGCTATTTCAGCGTATCCTTAGCTAGTAGGTGAGCTCACGGGGCTCAAATCGGAGATGTTGCTAACACTGGCCCTAACAAGAGCAGTGCTTCGCAGAATCTACCACCGGTCCGGAAACGCGACCCACTGAGAAGATCCGGCGAGAAACTCAGTGGGTTAATTCACTCGACGAGCTCTTCGTCGCAAGCGACGGGTTCGACGAGGACGGTGACCGGTGCTTCTAGTACCTAAAAGCACCGTGATATATATTTGATACTTTAATATTCTTTATATCAAATACTTCAGTTTCCAATGAACGATATTATAATATTGTGTGAACTACCGTTTACCTATAGCGATATGGTAAGCTCTAGTGCAGTCGAGCTTTATAAGTAAGCTCATCGACCCCAACGATGCCAGGGGCTCAGCCAAGCCATCATTATACTCTTCGCAAACCTCGATTGATTAGAGGAATTCAGTATTACCAGTGTGCTTAGTGCGAGTTTTTTAACGTTTCTCGATAGCATAAAAGTTAACCCAATTTTTATGGAGTTGGAACAGCGCCCCTAGCGGCAAACGTAGGCAAACGATCCCATTCCATACAAATATGAGCAACTTTTACGCTATCGAGAACGTTAAAAAACTCGCACTAAGTACACTGATAAGATACGGGTTACTGCACTCACCCTCTCCGCAATAAGAGCGTCCAGCCAGCTGGTGTCGATGTTGTTCTCCTGGAATGAGGTCGTCTCCAGCAACGTGATGAGGTACTCCACGGTCGTTCGGAAGTCGCCCCGTATGCTCAGCTCCTTGAGGGCTATCACCAGGTTTCTGTTGGACAGTCGGTACAGGCCTTCAATCAGACGGAATGGGTGGGAATCCCGCTACCAACTGCAAACTTATGTTATACCTTATCGACATTAATATTTGAAACTAAAGTGTGCTGTAGACGTGTATAGGTTGGACCAGACCAGACCGTATTTATAGGTCTGGAGGCCTCAAGGGCAACAGAGGAGCGGAGGCCCCCTGGCCACAAATTATTTTCCAAATAAAATGATTTTTCAATAAATAATTCATTGTGATACCACTTCGATTTTCTTAGTATTCGACAAATATAATCGGAGACAAGAATTATCTGAAGTTAAATTTCGGAGGAAAGAAAAGATGTTAACTAGTATATACTTGTCGGAATTCGAAAGTTTTTTTTCGAAAATCTCTATTGTGGGGGCCCTCCGTTTGTGGAGGCCCCGAGGCTTTCGCCCCGGTTGCTCTCCCCTAAATTCGGCCCTGCCGTAGACCTCCCAATGAGCGAGCGGTATTTCAGTGTGCACTCAGATCAGCATCGTGATGGTTGGTACTTATGTTACTCACTCTCTTGCCTGCTCCCGGGTCTCGCCCCAGGAGAAGCAGTGTCCGAACTGCGAGTCCGCGAACTCGTGCAGGCCGCCGGACGCCGCCACGCTGAAGTAGCCCCACACGTTCTTCGAGGACCTGAAGTTCAGCTCCTGGACCGTTCCGGAAGAAGGCTTGAAACCTGAACGAAAAGATTTTCATCGCTTAGATACATGAAAGGTATAAACGTTTTGTTACTGTAGTAGTAAGCTGAGAGCAATAATATTGAAGAGTGACGTCACTGTACACCACACAGATTATAATCGAAGACTGAAAGGATATTTGATTTAAGCAACATTTATCTTTGTAATTAAAGGTGCGTTTTATTCGGTATTAGCATCAACAGTTCCGTGTTTTTAATTGAACTTCCATTAAGTTTACTCCTGGTGTTAACCGGTTACCGGAGTCCATAGACACCTACGACGTAAATGCCGCCACCCACCTCGAGATATAAGTTCTAAGTTCTCAGTATAGTTACAACGGCTGCCCCACCCTTCAAACACATTACTGCTTCACCGTAGAAATAGGCGGGGTGGCGGTACCCACCCGTGCGGACTCGAGATGTCCTACTACCAATAATAGCTGAGGACATTTTTTTTTTAATTTTAAGCTTTAAATGGCTTTCCGGTAAAGTTGCAAAAATATCGCTTAAGCCGAATAAGTTGCCTTTCATCCCTCTATAGATGCAGTCTTAATTTTCGCAACTCTTACAAACCTTCGTCCGGATTTTCCGAGGTGATCCTGGCGGCGATGACGTGGCCCCAGGGCGAGGGTCGCTGCTTCGGCTCGTCAAAATCGATCTGGGTCATGCCCCACGGCGACTCTCCGTATAGAAGACGTATATCTTTTATGTGGTACAGAGGGAGACCCATAGCAATCTGTACAGAGATAATCAAATTATTTGAGACTAGAAAAAAAGATATTAGTATTAATTATCTTAATAGAAAATGAGAAGTTTAGATAATCATTTTACTGGTCGTAAGGCACGAGTCTTGCGAGTCCACACGAGTAGGTACCACGGCCCTGCCTATTTCTGCCGTGAAGCAGTAATGCGTTTCAGTTTGAAGATGAGTCAACCTTTGTACTGTAAAACTGAGACTTAGAACTCATGTCTCAGGGTGAGTGGCGGCATTTACGTTGTTGAGGTCTATGGACTCCAGTAATCACTTAACACTAGGTGGACCGTAAACTCGTCTACCCATTTAAGCAATATATAAAGTAAAAAAAAAATGTAGTAGAACAGTCAACATAATATATATAAAACTAGGTAGTAAATTAAAGATTTACAGACTACGCTACCATTGGACCCTACTATACGGTAAGCCGAGTTATAGAAGACCTTGGTCTACTCTAGTCTACTCTGGTCTACTCGGTAGAGCGCTTGTCTCTGTGTAATTCCATACCAAAACTACTTTATGAGCTTTCACAAAAAGAAACCACTAATTTAATTCTGAACACAAAAAGACCCCGGTCTACTCTTCCTCTTTACTCTACCCTTCTATTAACTATACCAAAAACTACATACCTGAAGTTGTGCGGCCGGTAGATTCACGTCTGCCACCATCTCTGTGCAGGGATGCTCCACCTGGAGTCGAGGGTTCAGCTCTAGGAAGTAGTAGGAGCCGCTCGAGGGATCGTACAGGTACTCCACTGTTCCCGCGCTAACGTAGCCCACCATCTTGGCCAGACGCACCGCGGCCTGCAAACAGAACGGTAAGTGAGATCAGCTCTCTTGCTAGCTCTCTTGAGCTCACAGCCCACCTGGTGTTAAGTGGTTACTGGAGCCCATAGACATCTACAACGTTCATGCGCCAACCACCTTGAGATATAAGTTCTAAGGTCTCAAGTATAGTTACAACGGTTGCCCCACCCTTCAAACCGAAATGCATTACTGCTTCACAGCAGAAATAGGCAGGGTGGTGGCACCAACCTGCGCAGACTCACAAGAGGTCCTACCGAGAGGTGTAAGGCTATCTGGTACTGTTACGCGTCGGGGTTCGGGATAAATAAAAAATTCTACCGAAGTGTAAATTAACACTGTATTTATCTTAGGACACTTAAAACACTTCACAAAAACTTTAAAAGTCTCAATTCGTCTCTTCCACTTCGCCTCAGGTGATCCGTTCACTGTTTCGCTTCGAGTAGTTCCGATTACTAACCGACTGCGTGCCATCTCTGCAACGCTTTTATAGTTAATACGACATCCCTAAAATTATCGAGAACATTCCTCACAAGTCGAGTATTTTCGATGTGTGTGTGTTTCCGCTATCTGACAATAGATGGCGTTGTACTTCTCGAGCGTTTTAGACGTTACTAGAACCTCTGATATTCGTTTCGCTTAATCGGCGATAGATGGCGTTACTCTTACCGGCGTAACAGTATTATAAACTCCAGTCTACTCTATTCAAATAAAATTGTTAGGATAATTTTTTCCAAATTTTAAACATTAAATGGCTCTCATGTAATGTTGCAAAAATGTCGCTTAAACGAAACAGCCTTTCACCCCTCGACATTATCCTAACTAGTATCATCGGATTGATGAGGAAAATAGAGTTCGTAGCCCGGCTACCTCGAGTTAAGAGACTCACCTAAGAGACTATAGAACGTAAATGCTCATCCGTCTACAGGGGACCTGAACCTCATGTCTCAAACTCACCGATCGAGCGTGAGTCTATCAAGGGAAACTTAAGAGATACCTTCTCCATCTCGATGAAGACATCTGGCTTCGCGACGGCGGCCGGTGCTTCCTCGATGATCTTCTGATGGCGACGCTGGATGGAGCAATCGCGCCCGAAGAGCGATATCGCGTTACCTGATCGGTTTATGAAACAAATAATATTATAATAAAAATAAATAATAATAAAAATAGTGTAAGAAAAAATGATTTTATTGTAAAAAAAACCGTGGGCTGCATGGTATCGCTAGTTATAAATATGTTATGACCTGTACTGTAGGCACGCGAGTTCATGTCCATCCTGAGGAATGCGGTAGTGCTGTGACCTAATTAATTATGGTAATGTCGATAATAACTATCGATTTAGTCAACAGCTGTCAATTTGGTTTAATGTAACTTAAGGTAATTTTGCAATTTATGAAATAAAATAAATGTGATAAGTAATTACTTGTTTATTTCGATCAGAGAAAAATATTTTTTAAATTCCAATTCAATCACTATCGAATGAAAAGAAAACCGACAGATTAGAGTCGGAATCAGTATGTATCTTTTTTCAGTAGGTTTTTTTCTATCTGAACTTGTTGGAAGCGGAGTAGTCATGGTTAAATAACACAATAGCGTTAGCGTAAATTTTCGATATCGATAAGCGCGCGTCACAACCGTCACGGACAAACTCGACGTCAGACAAATGCGGGGAGGCGGGCGGAGGTGGGGCGAGCTGTCCCCCGCGCGTCGCCTCTGGCCCCGATGGACATGAACTCGCGCGCTTACAGTACATACGTAGGCCTTTTTGTTAAATAATCTGTGACATGACAGCTTACTAGGGTTGACAAAATTTTTGGCTTTGATATTTAATTATAATTTTTACGGGGTATTTTGTAACACCTTGTCTATTAACACCCTCAAATGTTGTTTACAATGAAGAAAGCTTTTTAAGTCGCTGGATCGAACTAACCGTACTGGTCTGCGAGGAGCTGCACCTCCAAGTGGCGGGCGGACTTCGCGAGCTTCATCACGAATATAGGGGAGCCCGGGACCTCGGCTTGGACCTGCAACAGACAATAACATTCAATATACATATGGACTTTTTGGCGGGAACGCGAGGAGTGCAGTTGTGTGATTTGTTTTATTTTGTCTATTTAGTGTTTCTTCAGGTTTAAATGTGTAATAACGGTGGTTTATTAACTGTTTAATATCTGTGAAAGTGCACAAATATGGGAAAATGGAACAAAGGCGTAAGGTCGTAACTTCTCGGCATCCTCCAAAAACTCCACTGAAAAAATCTAAGTAAACGACCACAATTTTACTGAGATTATATTTCATCCCTCATCTCATTTCATTTAATTTTATCCCAGTTGATTAATGTCTCAAATTAATCATCTTCATTTAATTTCACTCCATATTATCATTTTTCAAAAAATTAAGAATATATTTTAAAATAAGACATGACTTAAAGGTCTTAGTTACCAGGTCATAAAATCCCTTAAAAACAATATACAGATTGCTTCTAATGTAATGTTATACTTTGGGAGGTGTTACAGGAAAACGTCTTCTTGCATGTATTCCATATTTAATTATCACCTTAATCCTAGTTTACAATTATGAAGAAGCCTATGTTTCTGGGTGGTCCGCCTTATTAGGGGGACATACGAGATTACACCTATTAATTATGTTATATACTAAATACTATGCTAATTCTATGCCATGCTATGCTATAATATATAAGTATACACACTTCACTAATTCAAATTAGGTATTAGTTATATCTAGTGTATTTTTTTATGATTGAAAGATTACTGGTGGCCCGGAGGCCTTTCCAGTTTCACCAGGGCAGTTGGCCAGAAATGGCTCAACCTTGAGGGGTGGAATTTGCTAACAACTGCCCGAGCGCCTCTGAAGGAGAGACCTAACAACTCAAGAGCAATTGCTTGCTTGCTTCGCGAATGAATCTACTACTAGATCGGAATTACGACCCGCTGAGAAGATCCGGCGAGAAACTCAGCGGGCTGACATATATCTAGTGTCTCATTCTAATGCGAGCGTAGCTTATACTATCTTTCCGTTTGAATACCACAATTCATTTATTATTTGTGATGACTAACAAAGCCGCAATGTAAGCGGCAAGGTCGTTGACTCCGGTCATCAGCTGATTTATTTGCTTTACAAGTCGCTTCACTGAGACCATACATACGGACCTGTCTAAACATGTTGTTGAAGTCATCCGGATTCTCGACTTTCCTTATACCCTTGCCGCCGCCGCCTTCCGACGCCTTGATCATAACGGGGAATCCTGCGCAAAACGAGAAACAAACGTAAGTAAATGTAAATATAGACTTGTGTCTACTGCGACCCTTTGAATTTGAGATAATATTTCTTGAAGATAGGCTTTAGCAATTTCTTCTAACATTTTCTCTTTAAATTTTTATTATTGCTTAGATGGATGGACAAGTTCACAGCCCATTTGATATCATGGGTCACTGGTATTAAAGTAGCTTTTACAGTGCAACGCCTGCACCACCCTTCAAACCGAAACGCATTACTACTTCGCGGTAGAAATAGGCAGGGTGGCGGTACCTACTCGTGCGGACTCACAAGACGTCCTACCACCAGTATTACTTCCCATCATTCATGCGATGAACAGATTTGTTCACTCTGTGTCTGTTTAATTTCTTATAGGATGTAATCATATGCACAGCTTAGTTTCTCGTATACTATCAGCGATAACCTGATCTTTATCTTAAATTAGTTCTTACCAATTTTCTGTGCAGCCTGCAGCCCGTGCTCCGGTGAGGACACGCAGCCCTTCGAGAACAGTTCCGATGATATCTTTATCTTCTTCGAATTGTATTCGGCCTTCAGTTCTGTCGAACGAAAATAATTCACACGGTTAATAATAGGCCGACTGACAACTATAATTAAAGTTCAAAGCGAGTTAAGCATCTAGATTTAATACAAAACCATTTATGTACCAATTTCAGAGTTTTTAATTGTTATCTAGATGGAGAAACTGTTATGTTTGCCTCTTTAAGTAGTGTAACAAGACTTTATGGAGGGTAGAGGTAAGGAGCAGCATATTGTATAGGGAAGTAAGTGAAAATGTCCGACTGTACACATCAAGTTGTTGTTGGAAGACTCGCCGAAATAGCGCTAGTGTAGGAAGTGAAAATGATATGAATACAGTGGTATAACTAATTAAATCGTACAAGTTGTAAATGATAAAACGTTTTTGCGGTTTCCCCACAATTTACTTTTGTGTTTCGTTTGTCTATTATTTGAACTGAGTTTAATCTATTATGTGCGTGAATAATGCTAAGCGTGTGATTATTTTTTTTGTGATGCCAGCGGAAGTGAATTTTGTGAATGTGTGCTGAATTGGCCAGCGGAACTGTTATTCCTGATATCTCGATCACTACACTATTAATATTATTAACTAGTGTTCGTCCAATAGCCGAAATTTGATTGTAATCAGTGACACCTCAAGGCTTAGTTTCAGTTTAATGCATCACATTTTCTCATTAGTTGCTACAGAACATGATACAACACAACTTGTCAGATGCCTGAATCTGGTTAACGACATTTTCACCATAACGTAGCGTATATACAAGTTCCGAACGTTCGGACCCTTATTTTACGGAATAAGTTCATCCCCGATGGATGTGGAAGATTTTCCCTTTTGTTGTTACTCTAAAAGTTCTATTGTTGACATTTGGAAATGAACTCTAATAGTTATAAAAACAAAAACATGTGAGAGAATCACAAACTCAGCAGAGAACTGTATGTAAAGGTATTTTTATTATTATTTAGAGTTAATTGAAATATCGCACCTTCGGTAAGACAAGGGCCGAAGTGCTAATTTTAAAAATGTTCAGGAGAGACGTTTTAAGATTTTTATAGATTTAAATTGTGTTTTTCTGCCCATATTAATGTAAAATAGTATTTTATTTATAGCAAAAATATACCTTATACATGTGAATATAAATATGTAATTTGAAAGACTGAGTTATTTATTTATTTATACTAATTATTTAATGAAATATTAATGTATGCCTACAATTATGCCATTATCTCACCAACATTTATATGTGCAGTTGCGACCAAAGTTACACATTATATTGAAATGACTTATTAAATGAAAATACTACTTATTTTCTACATCTTTATTTTTATTTTTCTTAGGAAAATATTTATCAATGATAAAATAAAATTACAATAAAAAAAAAACATAAAATTCACTTCTAAAAGGTTTACATTAAATCTATAAAATGCCACATATTCCTTTGTGGAATGCCAAGTAAATACGTAACTTATTTATTTTTTCTGTCAAATATGTGCTCTCAAATTAGGCATATTATGTAGGTACACAAAATGTGACCATGTCTTTCGAAAATATTAAACAAAAAAGGGCATATTTACCTTAATGACCCTTATGGTCCAGTACAAAACCACTACTCGCGCGGGCGATGCCGCAAATGACCAATAAGATTTTGTCGCGCCAATATCATCCAAAAAACGAAAGAATGGTACAAAGACACTTTTGCCATCTGGCGAAAATAAACTGAATCTAGTGAATGTCTTTGTTCCTACAGGTAGAAATTAGTTTTTAAGGCACTTTAGCATATTTAACTCATTTACAGAAATTTTAGCACTTCAGCCCTTGTCTTACCGAAGGTACGATTATAATAACACAGTTTATGTATTTAATGAAACATTAAAATGGAAAGAAAATTGTTTGATTATTCCAAGACAGGACAATAGATGCTACTCATACGGACCACCCATACATACCATACCCTAACAATACAATTAATTGAAGTGATTTAACTTACTGCTTCCGCTCCAAGGTAGGGTAGGTATGTCCGCAGTCTGAGCCACAATGGATGATGCGATTTTGTCTCCGAGCGCCCACATGGCCTTCTCCGGGGGGCCTATGAACACAACCCCGGCTCGGTGCAACAGCTCCGGCAACTTGGGGTTCTCGGAAGCGTGACCCCACCCAGCCCATACGGCCTGGAAAACCATAGATACGATTGATTATACAGCGAGTCAATGCTTCTGCATTTTAAGCTGAGTGTATAGCATCGCTTTGTGCTTAATTAAACTTGCACATTTTTCAAAAGAGTAATGACAATGCAATAATTTTATATATCAAGCCATAACAATCAGATGAAGGTAACTAGAATAATGGAATTATTTGTGGTTTTTTTTTAAAGTATTTAAGCCATATTTACTTTAAATACCAGATCTAAATAATTTTGGCTTTTTTTGCATAAGGCATAAAGTCTTAATTATATTATGTCTTTTCCAGCCTTCAAACCAAATCTTTGTATCACGGTTGACGTTGACAGAGTTGTGGAGTATGCTCCAAAACACCCTCATCATCATCAGCCCACAGTCGTCTACTGCTGGGCATAGGCCTCTCCCAATCCACACCACAAACACACAAACACCCAACCACCAATAAAAACAACATACCTGAACTTGCGTTCTAACTGCTATATCAACGATAAGCTCCACATTGGCATAATTGTTATTGTTCGATCCACCAGGCACTGGCACATAATGATCAGCCATCTTTATGTATTCTGCGTTTGCTTTCAGATCTTCCGGGGTCACCTGGTAACAAAATTGTTCTGTACTTTTTTGTGCTTGTTGTGGAGATGAGTTTACGGCATCATGATGTTACTTGCTTTGGGAAACTCATAGATTTTAAATTACACGAAATTTGTGAAGATAGAACAAAGTCTGAATTATATACATATATATCAATTTTTTTTTTATTGCCCTTGTAGGCAGACGATCACACGGCCCACCTGATGGTGAATGGTTACCGTCGCCCATGGACTTCAGCAATGCCAGGGACAGAGCCAAGCCGCTGCCTACAAATGATCCATATTGTGTCATACAGCACAAGTAACAGTCGACACCACTCATCAACTGTTCAAGAATGCTCACTAAAACCAGTCTATTAGCTTATTGACATATTTTAATGACCCTGTAGTGAGCCTTAGTCTTCAGGAATTAGTGAAACTAACTTAACACATAGTGATTTATTTGAATATTACTAACCATAACCACAAATCTCACAGCCCGTTCGTTCTTGAACATCTCGTAGGACCATCTTCGAATTGAACGCATACATTTTACAGCACCAATACCGTTATTAGCTATCAATATCTGTAAAATAACAATTAAATATATTACATTGTTTATTATTCTGTATAACTACTCCTGTTGTCTACTGAAGATACCACTTACTAACTACATGTCTATACTATAGGTAATATTATTGTAAACAATATGTTACCTAATTAAAACCTTCCTGAGTAGCTACTCTGATTTCCGAACCGAAGATCGAAACTATTACAGTTGGTGATTGTCTATCATTATTTAGCTAGAATATATTAAATAACCTTAGTTTTTGTTGGAAGTCGAAGCAAAAGATCGAATGTTCTACTTGATCATATGTCCCGTAGAATTTGGCACTGCTGAGGGTATATACAAACTCAAAATGTATACAAATTCTTACTTTATTTATTGGCTTTGTACCCTGGAACCGTCTCACAAACTCTTCTGGAGTGGCAACTGTAAAATCCTTTTCTTGGAAACGCTGACTGTGCACCACTGTTCCTTGGGACATAGACGGCCTGTCGATATTTAATGAATGTTATTACCTCGGAAGAATGTGGTTTATCTGATTAATGTAATTAGTCATAGAATGTTATATCTCACTATATTTCAATACTTTTAGGACGTATTTTATGTTCATTACATTAAGCAGACCAGTTGCAATTAGTAGTTCTGTAGAAGGTAAAACATAGTTTTTTTTCCTTGTCACTTGACTTACAACCACTTTATAAATGCCAATGACCACTTTGAGAGATGGGGTAGAAATCATAATAATAACAGCTATTTTAACCATCAAAACGAATTCATAATAATATTTAAAAAGCTGTAGCTACCATTGATAACAATATGCCTTACTGCCAGTAAAAATGCCTTTAAAGTTTGGTTTTCAGCTTAAGCTAATCAGCAGCAATCATCAAAATAAATAAAAGAAAATAATTTTAGTACAAAAACTTTAAAGTTTTTTGTTGAATAACAATAATCATTCAATTATAATTTTTAATGGCACATTGTTCTTGTTCTATGATATCTCACATGCTTTAATACATTTCACCTTGATTCATTTTCGGCAAAACCAGCACAACCCCTCGAGGTCACTGACAGTAGGTAGACAAAAAAATTGATTAAGTGGTTTTTGTTTTGATTGCTTAAAAGATAGTGCATACAGGTTGAACAGTACATGTTGCAATTTTCCTTGATACCAACAAGTGTAAGCAAAACTATCTGCGTACTATTATTAAATTTTTCAAGAAAAAATACCCTCAGCTGAAAATGTTACTGGTGTTAACTCCATTCATGCATTTATGGTGTGTAAAACAATACATTCTGCACACATATTAATAATAATAATACTTTTTATTTTATATGGTACATCCTGCAACAGCTCAGTAAGTTTTTATCATTGATTTTAAGACTTTTTATTTGGGTCCTTGAAAGTAAACTATTTTAGAATTAAGTAGGTATTCCACTTTTTTAAATATAATATATTCTACCTAATTTATAACTAAAACTCTTAAGTTTAAAAAGACAATAAATAATCCTTATTCAAATAGAAGTTACAAACACTGGTTATTGACCGGAGCAAATAAAACCTATCTGCCATTAAATTTTAATGTAATCTAACACTTACGTCATACTTATGTATGTATGTATATTATAAAATTAAATCCTAAAAAATATGTGTCATCTTTTCATATAACTGCGAAATTAGTTGAACAGGGTAAGTACCTATAGTTAATGTGTTCTTAATAATAAAAACAGTCTTAACATTATCGTGTCATAAAAAAAACTTAATTTGGTACCTGTAAAGCGAGGGTTACTTATTAATTCACTAAGAATGTTATTAGAAAACGTCTTTTATAACAGTAAAAAGTGAAAACGTAGCGACACACTTTGTACGTGTTTTAACCAATTTGCCATTTATTTTTCACTTTTATATTTATTTAAAACTCAAGAAAGACATTTTATGTACGTATTGACAATGTTACAAAATTAATTTACTTAGTAAAATGTAATTAAAATAGTTTCCGATTAAAAGTAAATTTTCTCTAACCTGTATGGCGTATCAGAATACAGTCCGTTCATTGAATTATACATTTTATTTAAAAAATTAAACACACACACAACTGACACAAGTCACGTTAATTCTGTTTATAAATATTTTTATATTAATCTTTATTTATGAATCATGAGAAAAAAAAAAAACATCACTTGCGCCCGTAGTAGCAAGCGAATGTTTTTAATTATTTTGACGTACAAAAACCCAACCAAAGTACCCGCGTGATGATCGTACGATCGCACTATCTTGGTCCCTCTCATAAGTTAAGCAGCATTAGAGCGAGATCACTATATATCCTTATGTGCCAATCTGAGGAAATTGCAATGAGGTTTGCAACAGAAACCGTTTGGAATTCTCAGTAAATAGTGTTGGGTCAAGCTCGATCGATAATAAACATGTGAAATGACACAATTAACGTTCGCAGCTGATGCAAAATATCAGTTCGTAATTATAGCTACATAATCAATTGCAATTGCTGATGTGTTTATAAACATTAAATAGATAAAATAAAATAACTTAAGTAGGGATTGAATGATAGCGAACTTATCGATTCTTGAGGCTTTTAAGTCTATGCTACCCTTGTGTTTTAGAACTGTGAGTTTCTAGGTTGTGTTTACAATCTAAGAATTTGTTTTTGGGTATATTTCATTTACGGCTAAACTCTGCTGCCGTAAGTCAAGCGATGACAGACTTCTATGAGAATACCATCATGCGGAACCAAGGCATGGTAGAGAAAAAGCTTTACGATACAGTTTAGAATAAATTTCACTCCCTTCTCCTGATCCCCAAAGTATTTCAGGCTTCTTCGTATATTCATTTCATCGGGAAAGAGACTGAATATAACGACGTCGTATCTGTTTTACACATTCTAGATAAAGTTTACAAATAAGCAAGCAGTAAGATAAAGGACTGTGAAAAACCACATTCTCCAACCCAAACAGTTAACAGCGCCATCTAGGCGGGCTTTAGATAACCCACCAGTCCAGATTAGGGCATAAACAGAGTAACGCTAACGATGGTATTATCGCCCTAGACACGTCATTACGGATTCTCCCGACCCATTAACGGTGCTTTTAGGTACCTCAAGCACCGGTCACCATCCTCGCCGAGCCCGTGGCTTGCGACGAAGGGCTCGACGAGTAAATCAACCCATAGACATAGCCCACTGAGTTTCTCGCCGGATCTTCTCAGTGGGTCGCGTTTCCGATCCTGTGGTAGATTCTGCGAAGCACTGCTCTTGCTATGACCAGTATTAATAACACTCCCGGTTTGAGCCCCGTGAGCTCACCTACACGACAAGGAGAAGCTGAAATAGCCTCTCTAGGCTAGCAGCATAGGTAGGGAAAGAAAGTTACACTACCACTCGAGTTCTGGACCTCAATTTATAAAAAGTAACTACAATTATTTAATTGTGGTTTTATTAGTGTTATCGTATCAGGAATAGTCAGCACTACGAGAACGCGATTATATAACTTACCATAGACACACCAAATATTAATTAGGTTCATGTGGTTCATAGATAATGCACTTAATAATAGTTTCAATGCAATTAATGATGGCATCTCCGAAAATTCTTGATTTTAAATAAGGTACAATAAGAAAAAATATTCATTTGTTGTCAATCATCTATAACAAATAAGCTTGTAATTTGGGACGACTGACTTCATACATTACATGCTAGTGAAATTTTGTTTAATTCAAACGGGTCATTGTACATTGGCTAAGTTAGAAGGCGTTCAAAGTTCAGTATCGCGAGGTAATCTACCCAACTGGTCAAATAAATAAAAAATTTAGCTCCGATGCACGATTATTTAACACTAAATATTAATGACTAACGTTAACAGGTGACAGACTGCGTAATTATAATTTAAGAGTTATTCACGTTCCAATTTGCACTGATAAGTTTATTAGGTACTCGTGATGCATAACAAAATCCCGCGTAAAATGAGAAAATAGCTTATTTCCCGCGCGTTTCATAAATGAAATGCCGTTAAGACGTGATTAGTTTATTTATTGAAAAAAGAAACAAACAACAATCATCTTTGACGAACCTGTCTTTTTGTACGACGATATGTCATTGTCGTCCTAGGTTCTTTTTTGTTTCATCTTAATAACTAAAAGTGATTTTAATAATTTTTCTTACTCAATCCGGTATAGTAAAATCAAGTAGGTACTTAGATGCATTATTATAACTAACGAACAGTTGAGTTTACTTGATAATCCATATTTTGCAAGTCATGACCTATTGATAGATTTACTTGAATACTAACATAGTCCTTGTTATTTGTAATATTAACACTATGAGATTATGATGTTTTGAAGAAGATTTTTATTTTATTATTTATTTATTTATTTATTAATGATAGATAAACAAGGTGCAAGGTTTTGTTTTTTGTTCAACAGACATTACAAGTAAAACCTTGATAAATTGGTACAAAAAAGTAGCCGGACGGACTATAATAACGCAATAAGGTGACGCAGTAGGTAATTAGTTTCGTTGAGTATGGAAGCGATAAGGAACATTATTGTCTGCGCCGTTTTTATTAATTTTTTTTATTCTTGTAGACGTCGTGGCCTAAATGATAAGACGCCAGGTATCAAGCCATCGACTCTGCCAATGTCTGAATCCCGCGGGCGGGTACTAATTTTTCTGATAAAATACGTACTTAACAAAATATGTTCACATAAGACTTCCACGGTGAAGGAATAACATCGTGTAATAAAAATCGAACACGAAACAGCTATAGTTTGCGTGATTGCTACTAGTAGGGTGTCTTGTGAGTCCGCACGGGTAGGTACCCGCCACCCTGCCTATTTCTGCCGTGAAACAGTAATGCATTATGGTTCGAAGGGCGGGGCTGCTGTTGTACAGTAAAACTGAGATTTAGAACTTATGTCACAAGCTAAGCGGCGGCATTTGCATACACCGATGCTTGGCTCCGGTAACACTATATGGGCTGTGAGCTGCTCTACCCATTGAAGCCATGAAAAAATTAGTGCCGCGGTCAGTAACGGTCTCAGTGTGCTTACTGCGAGTTTTTTAACGTTCTCGATAACGTAAGAGTTAACTTAAATTTGTATGCAGTCGAAACGTTTGCCTACGTTTGCCGCTAGGGGCGCTGTTCCAACTGCATAGAAATTTGAGTTATGATTCTACCACCGGATCGGAATGGCGACCTACTAAGACGATCCGGCGAGAAACTCAGTGGGTTGTAACTATAGGCCACCCATGGTTATACCTATCAGGCCCTTGACAGACTTACATAGTCTCCAGCGACACTATTCTACTTAACCTTAACACATAATTTTATTTAAAAAAAAAACAAGTTCACTCACATGGATAACCAGTTTCATAAGAAAAAAAAACATATTATGTTTTAATTAATTATTGAAACATCAATCATTAGTTCAATCAGAGTGTTTATTTATAAAATCATTATAATGCCATTAAGGATCGGCAAC